AATAGCTGTGCAAGGAAAAAAGCAATTTCTCACCGTCTCTGCTCTCCATGTCCATGTGTGACTTTTTATGCTTAATTTTTTAATTTAACTTTAGATTTAGGATTTTAATTCCTAGCATTTTTCATACTCGAGGTTTTGCTCAATGCAACTTTGGACATTATATTTGCTTAACACTTAATATTAATTTAACGTTCCAGCCCTTCCTTGTTTTCTCCCATTACCTGCACCTGTTCCCTATTTCTGTTCCCCTTTAAAAGCCAGACGCAGTCTTCACTCCTGGTTCCTCATTGAATTCTGCTTCGTGAGAGCCTGGTGTCCAGCTGCGACTGGCTCCGTTATGGTTTTAACTCTCTGTTCCTGATTCCCCCCGCCGGTTCCGACCCGGTTCCTGTTCCTTATCCCCCCGGATGAATCGCCTGGCCATGGACTTTTGCCTCTGTTCTTGATTACCCGTCTGAATTTTCTATATGGATTGTTCGCCCCGGACTCACTTCCCCTGGACACCTGCACTCCTTGGACACGCCCCTTGTCTCGATACCCTTCTCCTGCATGATTTTCTCCCTACCGTGTCCTCACCAACCGGATCGTGTCATCTGCCCAGGGCCCGGAAAGAACTGTTCGTGACAGCACGTTCAACATATTTTAAAGTCATCACTATTGATACCGTGTCAACAACATAATTTAAAACCAATTTAATTAATTTAAATACCATATAATCATATCCTATTATGCCTATAGTCAGGTCTATAGAGTTTCAGAATGGACTGACTGTTTGATCTACTAGCCTGAATTGTACATAGCCCTTGGGTAACTATGCTTACAAAAACATAGCATTTACTTTAAGGGTAATCTCATAATTTTCATAAAAACAATTTAAACACCTTTGGTTTAAAATAAAAGGCATGAAACTGGTGTGTTACACAATCAAAGCACTTTTTTGTTCAAACTAGTAGCATCATTATCTGGATTTTAGGAGCACACTGTACTGTCTTCTTAAACATTTTTTCTCCTAATTTCTGGGGAAATGTGATGAATATTTGAGCATGCAACATCAGAATGCAAAATCCGTCTCGTTCCTACTCAATTGCAGACAATGTACGCTGGCAGAGGGCTCAATGCATCAGCAAGGAAGCAGGGCACACAGCTTTTTATTCTTCAAGTCTATTTTAAGGTATAAAACACAGAGAGCAAATGAGTATTTTTGTGTAAATATAGCAGAGACCTTGATAAGATAAAACAGTGACTGTCTCTTAAGTTATCTGTAAATTATAAACATTCATGTTAAATTCTTCATGACAATGGGAGGTGCTGAAACTGTGCTCATAGGTCTCTAAATCCGGAATTAAGAGATACAGTACCAGAGATGACCTCCAGCACAAACCGATCACAGATTTTTGTAAAAATAATTAGTATAATGTCTTCTACACAATTTGTAAAACCTTGTCGGTTTTTTAAAATATTTTTGGCATTATTCGCAAAATATATCAATAACAAAAAATGTGTCTGCAAATAAACAGTAATGCTGATAAGCAATTACTGTCCTTCAAATAAATGAAAGTTTTAAATTTTCAAATGAAAACGATTTTTCCAGTCCATACACAGTCCGTGTATACTGTACATATATAAAACAAATGAAAATCCTGATAATATTGGGTTGCAACAAGCTCGGTTTTTTAGATACCTCTCTGATACATACTGTAAGTGATACATCAAAGTCTAAAAGAAAAATAGCTGGAAGTGACTCTAAATTACCATCCAGAAGTCCTTTGCAGCCATCACGTTGTTAGCACACATGTATACATGTTACAAAGGTCTGAAAACAATCCTTATAAAGTCAGCCTGTGTTAATGGAAAGACACAGTAACTTTTGCAATCTTTCAGTAATGTATTCACACTCAGTCAACCATGCAGTGTTACAAATGCTAAACATCTGTCTCCTATTCTGTTAAGCATATACTATTATGTTCATGGAATGTTTATACAAAAGCAAAATTGATTAATTTTGAACAAGGCAAAAGTGTAAACGTTATAATAGTACTATACACAATAAGGTCAGTCACATTTTTGCTGAGTTAACATTCAGAAATAAGAGTGCAAGAGTTAAACAGCTACAGTATGTTATTAATGTACTGTCCATCAATATTTTATGAAAATAATTTGTATATGATTGTGTATGCATGTTTTTAAATTGTAAATCCTTTGAAACTTTCTGAAAGAGTCTGGATGTACTGTACTTACATCTTAAAAGTCTGGCATATAGTGTAAAAAGGGCAGATGGCAGAGGGCTGAAGAAAATTGTGGAACAGATAAAAATATTGGTTTTGATTTTTTTACAGTTACAACCTAACCTATGCAATTTAATGTTATCTTGCGGGCTTCAGTGTCAGAAAATAAAGCAGGTTCCATTTTTGGACAAAGGGATTCAGAAGTCACCCCTGTAGAGGATTCAATGGGGAAGACTACAAGTGGCTTTTGTTCTGAAGAAGCAAGAAGTAGTTACTAATGAGATCATGAATTCACTTAGCTATTTCTTGAAACGGACTGTGGAAAAAGTACGAGTCTATGATGTGTACTAAATATCAAGAGTGATTTTCCTTTGGGTTAGATGATTACTAATGGAAAGATAAAATGAATCTTTTAGGGTTCAAAAATTACTGGCACAAGAAGGACTATTATGGTTATTTTATTTCGGAGCCTTGTAGGAGTAAAGCATTAATTTAGCCAAAGAATCAACCTACTGTAGGTAGTTTGTGATAGGAGCACAAAATACTTTATAAGATGAAATGTCTTCTGTTATCAGACCTCAACAAGCCTGCTTTTACTTTTCATTTCAATTCTATCCTTGGGCTCTGGTTTCATCATTGAGATTGAAATTATCCACTGGATTGCTTTACACTTGTAATAAAATGAAATTAAATTCCCTTCTAACTTCCTCTATTTGAAAAGAAATTCCATTTCTTCAGCTTGTGAGTTATTCAACTTCCTCAGCAATATTCTTTGTGCAAAGTGGTCACCAAAACTGTGCTCAGTATTCGAAATGGAGTCAATCAAGTTTATTTTAAACATTGCTTTCTTCCTTGTTTTCCCTTACACACTAATGTTGTTGCTGCCAAATAGATGTCGTTCAGCTAAATGTTGTTGTGTCCCCCAGCTGCAATGTGGTCTGCTGCTTCCTAATCACCAGGATTTATCAGAAAACACTCAGATGTATATTTGTTAATTATTTTGAAGTTTACAGCAATCGTGCAGACCAGTGATGTTGAATTATTATATTAATGTAATCCAGTACAGGGTAGCATTATTAGATACTTGCAAATCTGAGTTGCCTGATTAAAGAAATCAAGATTATAAATCTTCCGTGATATCAAGCTGTGTAAGCAGCTGTACTGTAGTTGCTCATGTACTCCCTCCCAGGTTATTGCATGTGCTTGAGTGAATCAATCACAGCTGCTTTTTATCATTTGACAGTGCTGCTGCAGTCTATTGACACTGAATTGCATTGCAATGTTCTTCTCTGTGTTCTTATTTATGTCCAGTTTATAAATCACACCTCAAAAGATACCAGTTTGGACAGTTCACCAATGAGTTTCTCACCAGCGTTTTCTCTCTGCTCAGGCTGTTTCAAACTAAAGCACCCCCTCTTCTCACTGCCTTGGCAAATTTGAGGTCGTCGTCTGAAGTAAAATAGTAAAATAAAACTCAGAAACAAAAATAGTCAATACTAAATAAAAAACTTTTAACTTACACTGAAGAAAACACCACAGACATTTACTGTGTATAGTACTAAATATACAGAATGTGGAAGATTAATGTCCATTAATAAGCAGGCATTATTGTTTCATTACAATCAGCTATTGTGAGGCAGCACAACCAATGCAGTGCCATTAAATTGGACACAGTTAACAATCTCTTCAAGTTTGTACTGGGAAAAATCATGACATAATATAAATAGCAAAAAAGGCGTTGGAAAATAAACAGTAATGCTGATAAGCAATTAGTGTCCTACAAATAAATGGAGGGTTTCAATATTTCAAAATGAAGATTTTTCCACAATCCTTGGAAAACTAAGTGCATCCTTACTGTAATTTTATTTACAAGAATGCAACATCATTTGGCTGGACACACTACACGATTTCTTAGAGTTTGTATTGGGAAGCCAGCACAATGGCTGCCCCAATGGAATAGTTAGAAAGGGCATCAGTTACAGCTAATTTATAAATGTTTTCCAAATCTTACTCCTACTTATCTGAAGATCTTGCTACTTGAATCTAATAGTCAGTGATTACTAAGAGCCAAAAACAACATTTCTTTTAATATTCCAAAGAATTCGAGAAGGCTGTAAAATAAAGTCTTTGGTCGGATGTGACTGGTACACGTGGGATCACTTACGAATGTTTCATACTATTTGAAAAGTATTTTTTACATTCTGACTACTTGCCAATCTGCATGATTCTATCTGTTTGTGAATGACTGCCTGTGTAGCATTTAAAGTGATTTATACTGAAAAGTAAAATGTTCACAATCATTTCAAGTAACTGAAGAGTTGTCTTACTGTATGTGGCTAATATCTGCTCATGTTTTTAAGGAAAAGATAGGCAGCTGGGAACTGTATGTTTATTGTCTGATAAAGTGCCTCAGGTAATGTACATATCTCAAGCATGGGCTGACAATTTGGCTTGAACACTCATTAGTTTAATAAACAAAATATAAGACATTTACCTTCGTATATTACAGAAAAAAAAATCTTTGCCTGGTTAAAGGATGTTTTGAGGCAGTAGAAGGTTATTAACATAGTTTGGAGTAAAAGAGCATACATGTTCCATACAGCCATTCTAGAACCATAATACTCAGTTAATATTAAAAGAATGGCTGAAGTACTTTTCTATTAATAACTTGAAAGACTTTTCATAACACAATCCCGGCCTGATATAATATTTAACAAAATCACACAATATAGTAATTGCATAAAAATTAAATAATTTAGAATTTTAATTTATGTAATTATACTCATTCATTATATTTTAATTGCTGAATTCTTTGTTGACTTGTTAGTCAATAAATAGGTACACTATTAAAATAACTGTGCCTTCTTCAGTAGTGCTTCTACTGATGCAAGTTACATTGTTCATTCTGAATTCTTCACGTTGCTATGATACTACATCAAAAGAAACTAGAATCACAGTCTGCTGAAAACTGAAAAAAGGAAAGAAATAACTCTTCTGTTGAGAAACAGCTGTAGGGCTTGCAAATGTAAATAAATGATTGCTCTACTTTTAAAACAGACCTTCAACAGATAGTACATCTAGACATTAAAAGCACATACTGTACTTGTACTGTACATTTAAACTTTTAATTTTCCTACAGTTTAATATAAAGTAAATATTTCATTTGTACACTGTATACATCTTTATGCAGAGATGCACAAAAAATTCCAAAATGAGTTCATTAAGAATGTGCAGAAGTAATTATTCACAACATTTTTCCAGGACTGTTCCATCCTTCTGATCTCTATGCATAATCACTCGCAGTGTCTACAGTATAAGTAATTCCTGGCAGAAATAAGCAGCACATGAGCAGGATGGAGGACTGTAGTATGCTCTCCAAAGTAGTATGCTTGGGTAATGGTGACAGCTGAAAAACAAACTGTGAGTGAGAAAGCATTTTGGGAGGGAAAAGCCAGAAACGTGAAGATTTTTTTACCGATTAATGCCTTTCTACCCTAACCTTATGGAAGATGATGTGTGATGAGGTCAAGTTGATTGTTGTGTTGTTTAAGAGAATCAGTGAAGCTACAGTACTGTACTGTACTGTATGACAGCCTGATGTGGGGATTTCCTTTGCCACTAGAATGATAGTGGTACAGCCAGAGGACATTCTGGTCAGTGATACATTGAAAAAAAATCCTTTTCCATTACTGCTATAGCTCCAGTACATAAATATCACTATATATATATCTATATTTGTTTTTACTGTTCCTGTAAAGCACTTTGAGAAGCTACTACTGTATATAGGCACTATATTAAATAAAGTTTATTATTATTAGAGTCAAAAAAACCTTATGTTTTCCATGGGTTAACTTTTTTCAGTAAGAGGATTACCAATGAATTTGGCTGAACTCCTTACCAGTTGGTTAGGAGTTTTAAGAGAGAAGAGAGATAAAAGGAATATTGTTGAAGATTTAACCCAGACAAGATGACAATATTGTTCAGCTTTCTTGATAGACTTCAGTTAGGAATTCAATATGCCAATAGTTGAATTAATTACAAGTGGCAATGTTTGTTTTTGATTAGTTACTTAATTTTTAACTTGCATTAACAGAAAAAGTATGATTACAGCTGAACACTCTTTGCTGGTGTTTCCGCCACTGAACCTTAACATAACTATCCCACTAGGCACTATAAAATGTAATACATATTCTAAGGAATGAATGAACTGTTTTGCAAAGTTAATGACTGCTATTTGGGGCTTAATTTCAAATGTGCTGAGCATATCAAATTGTTCAGATTCCTGAAAGTGGATGTTTCCGTAATTTGTATAATTATATTTTTCTGGTTTTGACTATTTAAAATCAGAGTTTGGACTTGTATGTTTGGAACAGATGACCATAGCAAAGAAACAACCACTCCATCTGGAATCTCCGAGGAAGCTGGTACTTCAGTTACTTTGTAACTTTGAATACCCTGGCATTCTGTCTGAATTGCAGTGTTGTTTCATGAGATATTTGTAATTTGGTCTGCAAAGCATTCTGTCAAACTTGAAAAGCGTTATTTTCCCTGTTTACAGAAAATTGGGGTGTAGCAGCATATTATCATCCTGCTAAAAAAACAACAACATTGAATTACATAATGGTTTCCACCTATTGAATTGGGAACTGTGAATTTCTCACTTTCCCATTGGGATGTACAAGTGAAGTGGTTTCTCTCACAGATGTTATGGTAACTACAAGAGAATTGGTCTCTGATGGTTTCTGTTAGAATGCAGTGGTTCTTCTCTATAGTACTGTGGTCAGTATTGTTACAGCAGTTCCAACAATGATCCAGCAATGAATTACTGTGTAAGTGGTTTTTATGGCTGACATACCATTGAACAGATATAAAAAAAATGTTTTTCAAACTTTTAACGTCAAGAAATGAGGTTAAAAAATGAATTATGTATATTTTGTACTTGCAACATGCAGTAGTTGTAAAATAATGTGGCACACTAATACATGGAAACTTTTGCAAAAATGCCATGAATTCATAAAAGCCAGACAGTATTTTTGATACAATAAATCATTTATTTAGTGTTGCTTAGTCGCTTGTGGTGCTGTCTTTAACTGGTTCTGTTCTTATCTGACTGGCAGGCAGCATTTTGTCTCATTTGGTTCTCATAAATCTCCCATGACCCCAGTCAATCATGGTGTGACTCAGGGTTCAGTCCTGGGTCCTCTACTTTTTATTCATTGATATGCTAACTCTCGGCCAAATTATATGGAAACATGGACTTCAGTTTCACGGCTATGCAATGATACTTATGTTTAAAGTTCGTCCCCCTCTGGTCTTCCACTTCCGTCACTTATCTCTCTTGTTTGTGTGACATCAAACTCTGGTTGACATCAAATTCCCTGAGGCTAAATAGTGACAAAACCGAAATTGTACTGGTTGGCAGCAAATCCCACCTGGATATACTTAAGAATTTCACAGTAATGGTGGATAGCTTCCCCATTCACATGTCAGCCTTAGTCAGAAGTCTGGGAGTCACACTCGATCCTCTCCTGTCTTTTGAACCATATGTGAAAAATCTGATTAAGACATCTTTCTTTTACCTTAGAAATTTTGCACGCATTAGGCAATCTCTGAATCATTCAAGCAGTGGGTTTCATAATAACCACGTCTGAGACAAGAGCAATAAGCTTCTGTAACTCAATACTCTGACAAATTTGTTCCACACTTTCTCATAATTAGACAATTTTTGGAATTCTTTTTTTATACAGTACTTCTCGGTAGACAGCACAGCTTTTTAATGTGAAAGGGGTCAGAATTAATTAAGAATAACATTCCCAGATATCACAATGCCTTTATATTTTTTTATATTTAAATACTGTCCTTGACAAATATTTAGAGAATGATCTACTCATCTACTATAAAAGTTAATCTTTTCTAGCATGTTGTATATTCCATTAATCCCAAGGAAAGTAAAGTGGAAATTGGATTTAGAGAAGGTAGTGGAGACATGCCAGTTCAACAGAGCAGAGCATCTTCAACACAGACAAAAATATTATGTGGATTGAGAGACACCTGAGGAAAATCAGATTTATTGCTTCTTTCCAGCTCATTCAATTGCTATTCAATGTTCAGATGGGAGTGATCAGATCTCATGTAGCAAATATATGAACCCAAGGTAAATTACTATTGGTTTTCAAAGCATAATTATAATATGCTTTCAAATTTAAAAGAAAGAGGATTCTGTGTTTCTGTAAAAAGAAAGCAAACAGCGTTTTAATTTTCTTCACTGTTTTATGCATACAACTGTAATTAAAAACAGGAAATGAATGAAGAAAACTTGAGCTTCATCTCAAACATGAGATTAGGAAATTGCTGAAAAACAGGTGCTGACAATAATACGTCAATCATTCAAAAAAAAACTCTAAAGAATGGATGAAGTCAAATCATTCATTTCTAAAAATAACTGATAAAAGAGGTGAAAATCCTACATAATCTTTAGCATTACCACAAACTACTGAAGAGAGATAATAACCTAATTAGCATCCAAAATCTACATGGATTATCAAACATGGCAGTCTTTGATCATCATTAATAACGTGTTATCTGATTGATGTGTAATTTATGTTTTTGTCTCATGTTGTTCAAAAGTGTGAAAGTATTGCAAATTACTAAGTAGAAACATTTGCATTACTTATCTTAAATTATACAGGTCCTTTTTTTCTTTTTATATGCCATAAAATGTCCGTGCCCACTGTATTTGTTGTTTTGTGTGCTGGGTTGAAAACCATTAGATATATAAAGATCTATATATTTTTTGAGATTTTACATTTATATTTTGATTAATAGTTATATTTTTGTCTCATACCACTGACAAAATACATTTGACCTTTAGCTCCTTGTTTACTATTGGGTATAAATAAGGCACACAAAGGAAACTGTAAATAACAAACATGACTAAATGTCCATACTGTGTCTGGTATAATTACATTTCTTAACCTATGCTTTATTTCCATTTCAAGGCTATTTCTAGTTCGTACCTATTTGTGTTCTGGAATAACTTACAATTCATCAGATTTCCATTGACAGACCATGTACAATCACAATTCAAATAAGGCAAATGAAACAGATAAAAAATCTAATTCATTTAAATAAATCCTTGAACTTCATTATGTACTTTTGGCATTTCTGCCCTTATTTAAAACACCTTAAACCCCTTTTCAGTCAGTAATAAAAAGCTTAGTGTATTCATGTAAAAAGCACTGTTATAGTTCTCTGACAATTGCATTGTAATTCTGAATTACATGGGCAGTTTTCTTACAGAATTCAAGTCACTCCTAGTTTTGGATGAAAGCAAGACATGTGAATACCAGAACAGAACAGCTAGCCTGCAATAGTCTCACACTGTAGTATACCAATCTGCTTTTTAAGACATGCTTTTCATGATAGCTGTTCTGATGTGTCAGCTTCTATTTAGTACTCATTATGAATGTCTAGAGAGCCATACAAGGACTTAAGCATGCTAAGTACTCTGCTTTGGATGGAGTCCACTTGTTCAGCAGGACAATAGTCATCCATACTGGATCTGAAACAGGAAAAAGAACAGAACAATCCATTTTATTTTTGATTGATGTAAACAAAACAGGTAGTGCAAATGCAGCATTGTAAGTGATTTCCTAATTGCTGAAGTTAAAGTCTTCCCTATAACATGCTCTTATTTCAGAATACAATTTTTTCCAATTCTCCACCTACAATACACGAAAGAAACCCTTTATTTTTTAATGTTTTATATTGGACTTATTATATAAATATAAGTAATAAAAAGGGGATAGAATTTTGTTCATCGTCTTTTCAAGAGAAAAGGAAGCCATCAAACATTCCAAACAATTTCTTATTGGTATTTCTCACTTTATACCCATGCAGTTTATAATTGTTTCCATATGTCCATGGCTTCCTGCAATAGCTCCTTAGTTGGTGTTAAACATTTTATTTTATAAGATTTTGCATAAATGAAATGATGAAGGTAAGAGGCTTTAGCAACCAATTAAAAGTGGAAAACAGGCATCTAGAATATTTTTTGATTATACTCAATTCAAATAGTGTAGTCAAACCCTAATTAAGGCAGAGAAGAGGTCTGATTACAACAGTGAGCTTTACTGGGGTAAATTACTATATACTGTATATGTAGGTAGGCAGAAGTAGGCGAGATTAGGTTTTGACATCCTCCCAAGTTCTTGTTTAAAACTACATTAATTTTATAAACTACTTTAAAGAAAATAAATTTGAAAAAATAATAAGGATCTTGTTTTGCTTTTTGGTGTGTAAATATACTTCCATCTGGAGTTTTATGTAGGAGAGGAAGCCAGTGTGCAGAAGGAGTAAAAACTGATTCTTAGACTTTAAATATCTATAATTTTGTTTTTGCAATGAATTTCAGCTATAATTCCTATAGATTTTGGAAAGGCTTCGTCTGTAATAATTGCCTAACTTAGTGTAGATACACTACATTGCTGTGTATTTGATATTTTCCCTCAGAAAATAAAGAAAGAATACAAAAAAATGTGTATTTTACCTGTGCAATGAAGACTTCTGATAAATTATAATAAATAATGCAATTACCATTTCAAACAAACAGGTTTTATAATGCTACCTTTAGAATGCATATTTAACTCTCAATTTTAAATCTTTGTTAGTTATGTAGTGCATATGTGAGCTAAATGTTTTATTTTTAATGCAGGGTAAAAGGATTTAGCTTAAACTGTAAAGATGATTCAACCTCAGGGTTCCTGCAAAACAACACATTTACTGGAATTCCAAGTGACAGAAAGCACTTAAGAATTTTATTTGCCTAACAGATGAAAAAGCCTTTTTACAGAAGTATAAATCTTTAATTATGAGTCTGTACTGAAAGAGAACCTAAAGGGTACTAGGCAATGCTGTATAAGTTATCATAGCATATACTGGCAATGATGTCAGGCACTGAATTGTTCAAACCATTCAATCACACTTCAGTGTGACTCAGCCTGCTTTATTGAAATTAATGATTTATATACATGTGAGTGTATAGCAAGATGTAGAACAACAGAAAAAATAAACTAAAGAAAAAAAGAATTGCAGAATACAATAAAAATACATCTAGGTTAGGTACAATGCTGTAAGGGAAAGAGGCATTATGCAATTATGCAGTAAGGCTACTTAAAATACTGTTTTACAGCTAAATTTGTACCCTTCATTACCTTTGTGTTAAAATGCTACATGCATGTGTATAGTCAAAACAGTACTGAGCTTCTTTATGCTTCAGGAAAGATAAAAATCAGTTTTAAATAATCTTAGCATAAGTGAGGCAGAAGTATTTGGGGTACTGTAAGTAATTCAGCAGATCTACAGGGTCTAATGCTGTTCCACCAGTTATTTACAGTCCATCAACAGAAGTCTACCACTCTTCTCTTTGGAGGGGAATAATAATATTAAAAAATAAATTAAAAAGCTAAAAATTGGTTTGTATGAGTTTGTGATCACTCTTAGGCATTATTTATGAGTTTGTGATCATTCTTAGGCATTATTACAATCCACCTTGTCAAACATTCAAATGTCAAATCCACTCTGAGCATGAGTGCTACAAATATTCTTAAGACTTTGGTACTAAATTTTAAAAAAGCCTCAAACCTGTCTTGCAAACATGTTCAACAGACACATACAAATTATTTTTATATTTGCAAAAAGTATTTTGTGGGAAATATTCTGGGACCACTTACTCTTTTCTCCATGAAGAGTGTTTTGAATCCAGCCAAATCTAACCTGCTTTTTCTTTTGCAGCTAACAGCAATAAATGATTGAAAGAACATTCACAGTTCAAGGACTTTGGTTTGGTCTCCACTCTTCCCCTTATTAAAATCTATCTCAAGTCCTTGGTTAAATAAAGAACATTTATGATCACCTTTTTAATTCAAAGGACAGTGGTTATGAAGCTAAGCAACATTACCTTGAAATGGTTATGAGTGTTGGCTTTGGCAGCATTTTTAGTATAAGGTTTACAGCCTCTATCAGTCCATCAATCTCTTTGTCAGTGCTAATATGGTGTGGCAGCTCTGAAAAATCACACGTCAGACCTGCCTGGTGAACCTAAAAAATATTTTAAATGATTAAAAATAAAGATAACATACTGTTAAGATGTATTTTTTATATGAAAAAAAAGTTCAGCAGCTCACATCACACATACAATTTGCTTAAAAAAACAATGGAAAAAAGAAATCTTCAAAGATGAGTCAAAACCAACACAAATAATAAAGAAACAAAACAATACAAACGAAACACCTGGATGTGAAGTTTACATTTTACACCTGAAAAAAAAGACACCTTACCATTTCATAGTCAGGGGATCCCATTCGATTTCGCAGGCTATGTATGAGTTTAACAAGAGGTTTCATTCTGAAAGAAAAGGCACTGACGCATTAGATATGCACATTTTTAAATATCTCAGAAATATATGGAGATGAAATGTAAACTCAAAAATGCTATTGGTTCATTTGTTAATCTTCATTATGCCGCATGTATACTCTCAGTGTACATGAAACAATTTCAATCCAATAAGACAACAGTACCAGAAGGACATGTGTAAAAAAAAAATATAATATCCTCACACGTTGACTTCCTCTATAGTTGCACAGGAGAAAATAAATACATTTTTATAAATTTAGAAACATCTGTTACTTTTGTTACACCCACCTGGTTTGGAATAGCCAATTATATGTTTTTCATATTTCGTCTTATGGCTACAAACCCTTTGGCCACACACAATGGAGAATGGGCAACTGTAGACAAATTCCTCTGACCTACCCATCTTTGAGGAGAATAATTTAAAACATGAAACACTACAATATGCAAAACGTAGTTTTTAATTAGGTCAAGTGAAAAAAAAAAGCTTCAAGACCTTCATTAGAGCACTGCTCTGTAAAAGTATCCTAATGTGCTCATTGTCATGTTGATCAAATTAAAATAAGTGAAATTACTTGACATTACACGTAAACACACAATGAAAAAATAATTCCACTCTAGAATAAGGAAATGTCATGCTTCATTCAAAAAGAACATTTGTTAAAATCAACAACACAAAAATAAAATGCAGCCAATGCTAAACTGGAAAATGACTTACGGATCAATACCTTTGAGTTTGAAAGCTTTACATTGTTATCTGTACTCGCATCCAAAAGAGCAACAACATCCATAAACATATCAGTAATCTTTTCTCCAAAGAAAGTTGGGAATCTAAAATGTCAAAAATCTGTCGTGTCCCAGCTGGACCCTGATGTTACACTAAAATGTTAATGAACGATGCAAAACGTTGCATGACTGATGTGCTGAAAGGGGAGGATACATTTCTCTGATGTTGTAAAAGATGGTCTTGTTGTAGTCACTAAAAGTTTACAATTTATTTGGCTCTCAAAACTATCTTAATAAAACATGATTTTTGACAAAGGGGTTTCACTCCACCTTTGTCTTTCTTAAATTCACATTTATTTATGAATTGATGTTTTATCCAATTTATTTTATGTTTTTTGTAAAGAACAATAAAATATACATTTCATATTTTGACTGGTGAAAATAAAAAGATTAAGACAAACCAGATGTAAACGTATGATCAGATGCGACAGAAAAATAAATTGCACACAGGTTTGTAGCCACAAGCACTTTACATTGTAACCAGGGATTACACATAATATGTAAAAATAATTGAAAGAAGGCTCCACAGCCGAAACGTTGTTTTCTTTCTGTTCTTTTCAGCATGGAATAAACCTATTACTTGTTAATATGTAAAAATAAAGGTATCTATTAAAAAAAATATTTATGTTTAAACTTTTATGTCATTCCTGGGGTAACAAAAAACGTCAATGACCTTTCAAAAAGGATTCTTCACAGATCATCACACACTTTCTACAAAGAATAAGAATCTTTAATGCAAAAGTGGCTGGGCTGCGTGAGATCAGTCATGCACAACCACTGGCTGGGAAGGGGTCGAGTGAACTGTCTTGAGTTACTCTGCAACTGTCTCAGCGCCACGAAGAAAATGGAAGTCTTACAGTCAGCGGCCCATTAAAAACACAAATCAAAAGCGTTTTACCCAGGGTTGTCCGCCCATCTGTTCAAGGTTTCCTCACTGTCGTCTTCAACAAAGTCCGCAAAAGCTGCCTCAAGGTCTTCGAGCTGATGGACTCTTCTTTCCACACAGTCCAGCAATTCATCCTGAACAGTTAAAAAGGTGAAGAGAAAAAGGTGAGCACAGTTATCAATGGAAATCCGGCGCTGCATATTTATGAGGTTTATGACTACATCCATCCATTTTCTAACCACTTCATCCAATACAGGACTGCGGGGGAGCCGGAGCGACGGGCACAATGAGGGGTACACCCCGGAAAACACAACAGTCCCTCACAGGGCACAAAGCACAAACACAACCACGCACACTCATGCCAGGGCCAGTTTTCCCAGAAGCCAATTAACCCGCCAGTATTGTCTGTGGACTGTGGGAGAAACTGGGGCACCCAGAGGAAACCCACTCCAACATGGGGAGAACATAAAAACAGTAAAAAGCACCCAGGAATTGAAACCAGGACCCCAGAGCTGTGAGGCAGAAATACGAACCACTGCACCACTGTACTGCCCTTTATGAATCCATAAAAAGTATAAATTCTCACTCGCTGGATTTTTATTTAGGTACACAGCTGTGCTTTATTTATTTTTTTTGTAGGTACACAGCTGTGCTTGTAAAATATATTTTTAACATTATTAGTTTATGTTCTAAGTCATGTCTGTCTTTATGCACATTAAATGGAAAAACTGAAAATACAAATATTCAGAAAATCCTTAAGGCAATCAATGACGTCTTGAATAATCAATTTATAGAAAATATTCACAATCACTTTTGTGTGACAAGGGTAAGCTACAATTACCATGACATTAAGAGGTATAAATTAGAAATAGTACAATTTTAGCTGTCATAAACCATTGATCTGGCTAAGCATAACATTCAGTACCTCATCTGGGTCTTCACAAGGTTTCTGGAAACTATACAGCTCTTGCAGAATACAGTATTCCTCCTGTATAGAAGGTGAAAGAAAAAAATCAAATGCAAGTTAAATGCCTTGTACTTAACTTTCAAAAGATCAAAAACAAAATCAAGTTATCATTTTCTTTTCTCCTGACATTCCGAATTTTGTTGTGACTATCAACGTTCATGGATGTTTTTGGATTTAAGAAGACAGTGCTTGCCTAGATACTGCTTCATCACTAGAAACTACCAATCTAATAGAACAATTGGTTACCTCTGTCCAGTTTACTGAGAAGAAAAATTAGATTTAATCTCTGAATTATAAAGTTAAGAGACTCTGTGTCATTTTTAACTAAAATCTACCAGGACCAAAGACAATACTTGCATGTGTATGTGTTTATGTATTGTTGCATGGCTAGGACTATTGTTTGTTTTTAACTTGTATTTATTTTATGTTAAGTATTATTTGTTTTTTTGGTGTATTTTTATGGTAATGCCATAAAGACAAATTTCCACCCTTTTGGATAGAAGATAAAAATAAAGATACTTGGATCAGCACTAACTCACTTTTAGGACAGTTGTGGGAATTTTAATTTTCACATCTCAAAACATTAGTATTTGGGCTTTGGTATTCACCTCCTTCATGAAAGTATATTAAATGTATATGTATATATTAAATGCATTAATAAACATAATAAGGGATAAAAGACCTCCTTTTGCCTGGAACTGAGCTATTGCAGTGTGGCAAAGTCAATTTTATAAGCAATGACAGGCTTTACAAACAGATATATAACAATAAACATATAAAACAAATTGGGATTAATGTTTTGACCTCATTCCAAGCAGCATACAAATGTCAGAGTGTCTGAATTTCTCTTATTTTAAGAGTAATACTTCTAACATTAACTATATTGAAACACAACCAATAAGTGTGCTTACTGAACAAATTAACTGAAACAAATACATATGGGGATTATAAAATTGTGCCCCGAGGAAGCTGTAATTAATCATGCCACTGAAGTGACAACTCTCATTATGAAATTAGTTTTTATGCTTCAGTAAAACTGTAGGCGGCATTAGGTTATAACAGTTACAATAGAATGGAGACTTATGTACTAGTAAATATCAGTGACAGAACAAAAATCCACATATTTCTGGCAGAATACATAAAAAAAAGAGAAATGCAAGTCCTACAAAAAATCTAAAGCTGACTAGAGAATACGAAATGTTATGCTGTATTCCAAAATAAAAAGCCTACAGTCAATGGAGGAGGGCCCGACAATGGCACAAATCACCATGGATATGAAAGACACGTTCTCTTCATTTGGAGGCCCGTGGCGTTCTTTCAGAAAGGCCCATATTTGACTCAGCCAGAGATGTACATTTGTCATGGTATAAAGGAAAACACTAAAGCATCTGTATGTTGTTGTCCTTGAAGTTTTCAAAAGCATGGTCATAAATATCATCAGATATATGGACAATTTAGCTAAGAAACGGAAGGTGGACTTGGAACTAAATGCGATTTAACAGACTAATAATTTACGTTTTTTGCTAGATATTTGGCTTAATATAAATACCCTCTAACTTTTCATAACTATATTTATCCCCCTAATATAGCAATAACTTAATTAGAATAACAATATCCTACACAGTGACAAAGTGGTAAGCATTACTGCCTTACAGTGCTGGGGCCCTAATTTCAATTCCAGATCTAGGGTGCTGTCTGCATGGTTTCCTCCCGCAGACCAAAGACATACTAGCAGGTAACTTGGCTTCTGGTGTGAGTGTGCGCTGTGATGATCTGGTATCCGGTCCAGACTGTATTCTGCCTTGCACCTGTTGCTTGCCGGGGCAGGCTCTGGCTCCCCCTCAACCCTGAACTGGATGAAGTGGTTAGAAAATGAGTGGATACCTAACCCAATCTTTGTGATTATATTGCACTTCACCGCATTCAAAACATTTTTGGCTGTGGAAGAGACCGAAGAAACCCAAGGTACATATCTTTGCCATTACCTGGGTATACATTTCCTTGAAGGGGTTCTTGCATGAAAAGAAATCCAGGTCAATATCCAGAATGTAAGCATCTGTTTGCTGGATAACTGGGAGGATTCGTTTCACGGGGTCTGTTTCCGAGTCCAGTTTGATTTTTGAAAGGCAGCTGGTAGAAGATCCTCTGCTGGGCTGTGCTATTTCTCCATGGCCACTGCTACTTGTGGTGGACTTGCTGCCCCCTGCTGGTTCCACACTCATGTCTGCAGGTGTCTTCTTTGCCAAGGACTCAACTTCATCCAGCCCACCCGAAGGCTGTAATTTAGGTCTTTTAGCAGCGCACTCCACGGTTTCCTCCTCTTGCTTCCAAGCATTTTCCACTGGGATAACTCTGACAACATGCAGCTGTAAAGGCTTCTTATTTTCTAGCTGATCTTCAGGGACATAGAGCCCATCGCTTAAAAAATAATCATCTTTACTCGTCACCCTGAGACACACAGAAAAAAAATGTGAAGGTTTCTTGTTATATTGTTCAGCAGAGGACGAGGTATGAGCCACTGCAACATGAAGAATGAACTTATCTCTCACTATATTGTGCATGCATCATCGTGATTAACAGGAAAAAGTGCTAAGAAAACCTGTGTCAAGATGAAGAGTAAGCTCAATGTTGCGCTAACAGTTGTTTAGAAATTATGTTATGGACCAGTAAGTGTACTGAGAAACCATGGAGCACAATCATGAGGCCGTGTAGCTGAATATGCATTTGAACGAGAAAATCTTGTGAGCCCATCATCTAAAATTGTTTTAAGGGTTTCCTCAGAAGATTATGGGACAAGCTCAAATACCAAATGAAAGAGCAACAAAAAACAGACTGACGAAAAGTAAAAAGTCAGGCAGAAAGAAAAACCTGGCATTATGAAAAACAAAGAGCGTTAGAGATAAAAAGGCAAATAAATAAAAAAAAGTAAAGTAATTTGTGATGTATGTCATGTCATTTGCCAAACCGCTTTTTATACCATATGTCCATTTTCCACATTTCCATTGAAAATAAACACTTACACATCCAGCCATTAACATGTGACATTTCGAGATGTATTATTGATGAACTAACTGGTTGAAACAGTGAATTCTAGCCATATTCTAATGTATTAGTAGCACAATGGTTATTGTACATTTAACCAGCAATCACATAGCCTACATAGCCGATATAAAACAATGCCAAATCAACATGTTGTACTATGAATTTACCTGATTGTTGTTGTAGAGGAATCCTTCCCAACCGACATATTGTGCTCCCCCTCTGTAATCTGTTGTGCCCAGGAAGGGTGAAGCCATAGGACATTAGATAAATGCCCTGCATACACCATGGGCATAATCCAATTCTCAATACTTAGCTCACTGGAAAGATATTAAAATATCAGATAATGTTTAAGACTAAAATTCAAGGGGACAGATTAATGGCTTTTTCCCCCTAAGAATTTATGCCTATTATTGCCCTTATTACAGAGCTCCTCGGGTTGTGGCAAATATTACTGAACTATAGACTCCAGCAGACAAAATATATTGGGTATTATAACTCAGCTTTAAACGTTTAAAGCTTTGTGGAAAGAAAGTCATGAAATACAAAATACTTGAATGCACTTAATTCAATACCGTGAAACAAAAATGAAATTGTTATTTGAAATGAGTCATTGAAAAAAATCCGATATAGACCCCTTAGTCTTCTGCTACAGTCGCCAAGTAGTGGTAGCGATAGAAATAAAGTGGGAGAGTACTAAGAAAGCAGTGGCATTTAAAAAAAACAGCAAAGATTAGAAAGGAAAGTCTTATTTTACTTTCTTGCTAGAATTCTTCGAACAGGTGATGAAAATAGTAGAGAAGCCTTGATTTAAAAGGGTCAGGTAAAGGTTCATTCGCTGCTAAAAGGTAGGGAAAGAAAAACAACACTTGGTCTGTGGAGCCTTCTTCAGGTGTGAAGGAGGGAGAGAAAGTACAGTAGCAGATCAATATGGCATAGCAGGACAAAACAACAGAGTAGGTGAAAGGGACGGGGAGCAGTTGGGAAATGGGCATAAAGCAGGTGAGAATGAAACTAGAGGATAACAGGATGAGAGGTGTGGAAAGCCTAAATGATTAATTTAGTAGCAAACAGTACAAAATATTTAGATATCCAGAAAGATTTTATAAAGAGACTTATACAAATTCATGAACTACACAGACACAAGGCTAATTTCATTTAAAATTAATATTAATATGTGCAAGCAATTGACACTTCTTAAAAGGAACACACTATTTAACTTAATATTGCATGGGTGATTCGGTCCCACAGCAAGCTAAAAGCAGAGCGGCAGGGTGGCGCAGTGGTAAGCATGACTGCCTCGGAGTGCTTGGGGTCCTGAGTTCAATTTTGAACCTGGGGTGCTATCGGCATGGAGTTTGTATGTTCTGCACGTGTTTGCGTGGGTTCCCTCTGGGTGTGACAGTTTCCTTCCAAGGGCATACTGGTAGGTTAATTGGCATCCAGGAAAATTGGCCCTAGATGTGAGTGTGCGTCCTGCGATGGACTGGCACCCAGTCCAAGATGTACCCTCCTTTGAGCCTGCTGCTTGCTGGGATAGGTTCTGGCTCTATGGTAACCCTGAATTGGAAGAAGCTGTTAGAAATTGGATAATGGGACACATGGACAGACAATCAGTGTTCGGGTCAGGAGAGAAGAGACAGTGAGAGACATATGTTCTTTTTTTTTTTTCCTCGCACAGCTATCAAACCACAGGTAAGATGTTCATGAAAAAACAACCATCATGTTCATTATCATGTTTGTTCCTGCAATCCTTTCAGAATATCTGTGACCAATGAACACATCTTACCTAAACAGCTCTTCTTTGTCGAACACGGTGTCAGCAGGCATGTTGACAGGAATAAGCAGGTCGGGGTGGGAATCTAAATGGATCATTTTAATGTTCTTTATAGGTAAATGTCTGGAGCCAATGGCGCGATAGATGTGAGGTAGCACCTGTATTAGAATAAAGTGCAGAGATTGCAATTGCGGTTTGTAAAACGAGCAACGTGATCTGTCAACTGTCGGCTTTCCCATAATTGTACTTTGTTACAACAGTGTAGCATTAATAGTACTGTTTATTCTTCGGGAAAATAGCTGGTAATGTCCAAAATGTATTTTTTTATTCGCATTTTATTTTTGTGAGGGTCTTAAACTGTAACTATATATAAATATTACATGAATTTACCCGGAACACTTACAGGATTGATTAAACAAAACTGACCACAGTTCGCAGTGTATATACATGAGGCTATAAATAGCATAAATACATATTGATGACAATATTCCTCTTTGTACAGTCTTCGGTATTCATTATACTACAGGGTTAAGACTGTATTTTACAATCAACTATTGCTTTCAATTTGCAATTCGTATTCTGAAAGCTGGATATATTAAGGCTGTAAGCAGGGAAAGGAAACGCAGACAATTAGATTAAAAAAAAGTGAAACTGGTACTCACATCATGATGATCTTCCACTATCCAGACGGGGACATCTTTATAAACTCTACTTGGCGCTTGAGTGGAATTCATACCACCTCCTCAAAAAAAAAAAGAAAAAACAAACCACTTGCTCTGCCTGCCTGCAGTTTATTTTAGCCTTGTTGACGGGGGACCCGTCTCAGTGTAACACACGCCGTTTCCTAGCCGCGATTGGTGGAGCTGTCCCGTCTCTGCAAGCGATTGGGCCAAAGTCGTCCGTCTCGGTCTTTTGCGCCGCGATGAAACACGTTGCCTTCACTTATGCTTCCCCGGTTGTTTAAATCTTAAAACATCTTTCCAGTTTCCCTTGTCTCATGAAGGCAGCGGCTAGATTTATGCGTTGCTAGGAATACATGGTACAGAGTCGAGAAGCTAAAAAACTGAAAAGCTGTTGTTTTAAAGTGATTGCGTGTTACAAACCGGAATGTGCCAGTCGTCGCATCCGCTCAGAGGAAAGGAAGGCGAGCCGATATCAACAGGGATCATTTCCTGTTGAGATTATGGTGCTGAGCTTGAAGCGGCGATACACATGTAAAATGTAGGGTAATGACCAAACTTTTTATCTTGCTAGCAACAATTCTTTTAGGTAAATCGTTTTAACTCTTCTTGGAGACTGGCGATCGTTGTCTTTTGTTCTAAACATTTTATCGTTAAAGGTAAGTTTCTGTAACATGCAGCTTTGAATTTCTTTATACCGTTGTATGCTTTGGTAAAAAAAAAACGTAAAAAACGTGCAAGCGATAGGCTAGTTTGTCTCGGTTATATTAAGAACTGAACAGGCTACAATATCTCAGGCTACAATAATGTTTTTCCCCCCATGTTGTCAATTTGAACGAATTTATGTTATTTACCTATACAAGTCAGATGGTGCAGTCACGAAACACACAGCATTGTTGACGGTATTTTTATTTTATATATAAAAAAATCTTGCTCATAATTATTTATGGCGCTTTTAAACAGCAAATCATACTAATACACAACGATGCCGGACATCGGTAGCAGTCCCACACTTTAAATGCGCACGATGAAATACGTAAATATAGAAATCCAGCATCAACTTTTATTCTTTTTTTGCGTCGTATTTAACATACAGTATGCACTTCAGCCATTTAAACTTATAGACCACTTCATTGAAATATTTGATTGATTCGATGTTTAACCTTTTTTTTCGCATTTTGGCTAGAGACTCACATACGGGCAGCCTTTTGTGTGTCGTTTCCATGAATTACAGTGATACCATCACATCTTTGATACCATACAGGATGTAGACTTAAATATGATCAGCTTTATGCCTGCCATTTCCACGAAATACAGTGATCAAAACTCCGTTTTGACTTGGTTTAAAACTGTTGCTCTCCCGTTGCTTTCTAAACAGCTCTTATTGTTTGTCAGTTAACAATGCGCAGACAGAATTGGGAATGATACTGTCAAGCACTCTGATTAAAAAAAAAAAGAGGCATTCCTATTGCTGCGTAGGTCTGTTCGTTAGGTTTAACCAAATCATTGAAAATACATTAGTGTGTGGAGAATCGAAACAGCTTTGGGCACCAGTTTCATTCTTATTTCTAACAGTGTTCAGTCTAAAAATAAAGATGATCTTTTATTTCACACTGCTTTATAGACTTATCCTCTATATATTCTCTATATATCTACATGAAGATCTCAACATTTTGGTCTAGTTAGCAGTTTTTATGTATAACTAGTGCAGTGCAGTCCATCATAGAATCTTTTTGTTGAATTGCATTTGTTGAAACCTTTTATTGTTGACTTTCTTGACTGCTGTTACTACCATTAGTGAGATGTAATGCTTGTTGTTGTTTGCCTCTCTTTAAGAATCAAGATGTCATTCCATCTTGGGCGCGGCTGTCCCAGGGGACGAGTCTCCTCCGGTCAGCGGGGGGGATCGCAGAGCTACCGGCCGCAGAACCTGCGCCAGATTCCCCCGCAGCAGTCCATGCCTTCCTTCCATTACGAGCCGCCGCCGCCGCCTTCGTGCCCCGGATATCCCAGTCAGGGCAGCCCAGGCTACATACCTCCGCGTCCCGATTTCATGCCGTACCCCCCGCCGGTGCCCTCCCAGGGTCAGAGTGCGCTGAACCAGTGCCCGGTTCGCCCCCCCTTCCCCAACCCCCCGATTCGGCAGGGGTTTCCCGGACCCCCGAACTTCCCCCCTCCACCCCTGCCGAACTCGTCCGCCAGCCTGTTGCCCGGACCGGCGGCCTCCGCTCAAGGCTCCTACCACTACATGATGCCCTCGGTGCCGCCGCTGCCGCCGCCCCCGCCCCTGCCGCCCCCACACCCCCCTGCGCCCCCCTCCATGTCGCAGCCCCTGGGCTACCAGCCTCCCTACTCCATGAGCTACCCCCAGCCCCCGTTCCCGCCGCCCGGCTTCGGCGGCGGCGCGGGCTACGGCCCGGGCTCCGGCTCGTTCAAGGCCGACCATTTCCGGCACGGCGGCCAGTACAAGCCGGAGAAGCCCCAGAGCGACCGGAGGTCGCCGGAGAGGAGCAGGCGGCACGAGGAGCGCCGGCACAGGGGCTACAGCTACGGCGGCCACGGCGACAGGTACAGGCCGGAATACGGCGGGGACCGGAGGGACCGGGGGCGGAGCCCGGACAGGCGGAGGCAGGAAGGGAGCCGCCACAGGTCCGAGCACGAGCGAGGCAGGACGCCGCCTCGGCACAGGAGTCGGGAACGTAGCAGGTAAGTTGAGCTCGACTGGCACGTGCACATCGTCGACGCATGGATATCCTTTAAATGCGCACACTGAAATGCATCAGTGTTGAAACCCAGGGCCCGCTTTTATTCATTTTATGTATCGGATTTAAAATATAGCATGCACGAGCTAAAATGTGACCCAGACCTATAGGGTTGTGTAATGTAAGTGTCTTTCATTGTTTCATAACGAGCTAAGAGGTCCCCTGTCTCTTCTAATTCTAGACTTCTTATAGGACACTTGATGTTTTGAACAAGTACTTGTACTTGATGTATAGAATATGTGATGTTTCTCTTTCCTGCAATTTTCTCCAACACATCCATCAGAATAGATTGTTATAGTGTAATATATCTGTAATAGATTGAGTTGTAATTGTTCAAGTTCTTATAAACTGCCTTGGTAGAAAAGATGTGATCCCTCCTCTCCAGGATTCAGATATGAAGGGCTTACAAGTAATATTTAATAAGTATCACTTATTTTGCAAGTGATGCATGTCCTGATCATGCCAAATAGGGGAATGTGCAATCAGAATTTCAGTATTTCAGGATTTTGATTGCTTTCACCACAATTTCAAAGTCACAAATTTCCTTCCTTTTATTTAAGTCCAAAAAAGGTAAATCCTTCATTTCTTTCTGACCACATTCTAATGGACTACTAAATGTAGTCAGGCTTTTTAAGACTACTGGTATTGAATGACTTCCGTATACTGCATCTTCTCTAAATAACATAGTTGTACTGCAGTACAGTGCCAGATAATTTCCATGGTTGATATCTTTATTAAGCACTTTTCTCAGAGCTCTTGTACTGCCCTGCCGGAAGAGCGTTATCCAACTCTGCAGGAAAGCAACCTCTGGGGTGGTGCTTGACAGCACTTTTGTGAACACAGCTGAAGCTGACTTGATTTATGTAATTTGTCTCCTTTTAATTTTAAAATGTTTTTTTAGAAACAAAAATCTTCATCATGTACAGTTAAACAAATGAGAATGTATTATTAATACATCCCCAAACAAACAAAATACAGTGGGAAAATTAATACTGTGTTTGCTGATGGGTTATTTCACACTCTTCTCACTACGTGGGACATTATAGAGATTAGGAAGAGATTTTGAGATTATCACAATGATTGTGTTGTTTTAATTAGACAGTCAAATATGCATTTCAGAAAATAATACAACTCTGTGTTTCATTTTAGGGATAGGCATCGGCACAGAGAAAGCAGGAGATCACCTTCTACTGAAAGGCCACACAGGAAAGACTACAAGAGGCCCAGGAGGTGGTATTGTGGTTTTAAACTCACTGTTGTCTACATTCTCTTTATCTATGTCAGTATTAACAATGTGCCACAAGGTGTTGGCTTTTCAAAATCCAAGTTTTAAAACCGTTCGCTAGATGTTCTTTTTTTCCACTATTTGCATCATTACAGGAAAGGAGGGAAGATTGATTCACATTCCAAATATGATTCATATCATATTCATTCCAGATATGATTTAACCCAAATAAAGAGAATTGTTTTAATGAGGAATGATATTCAATATTATAGAGTCGCCTGGGGTGAAAAAATCCAATTAAAAAATAAGAATTGTCTTAAATCCTTTTAGGACAATGTTGATTTTCCTCCAAGGAAAATGAAAGAGATTCAAGAAAGACTCTTGAGAAAGCAAAAGAGATAACTCAGAACTGCAGATTGTTTGATGTTAAAGTTCCAGTTTTGGCTTATAAAGGAGTGAACCACAAGTATTTGTTTGATTCACTGTTTCTCGGATCATCCCGAATTTTATTTTGTGATAATTGGTGCCATAGCTCACGGAGTCGCTCTAGCAGTCGGGACAGGAAGAGAATGCGCTGGGAAGACGACAGAGAGAGGAGGATGGATAGTCAGGCAGGTAACAGAGAGAGGAGCTACTCCTTTATGAAGAGCAAAGAGCCGGAAGAGACTCCTGCCGAGAGAATGGAAGATGAAAAAGAGGAGGAGGAGCTTCTCAAGCCTGCCTGGATTCGTTGCACTCATGCTGAGAACTACTACTCCAATGATCCAATGGACCAGGTGGTATGTATGACACCAGCTGGCATCAAAGCAGACCCGAGATTCTCGGAAGGGCTCCTGCTTCGATTATTCTATATAAAATCATCCGAAGTTCAACTTGTCAAAGCGTTACGTTTAAGGAACATAGGTAATGAAATGCAGTTAGGTTGTTTCTGGAGTGGCAAGGCAAAATACTCCAGGCAAAACTGTTCCAACTTCACCTCACTTATATGGGTGAAACTTATGTGAAATTTGTATCCTACTTAATGGATTAAGACCGAGCTCTCCAGATGTTTTCATGCCCCTGATGAAATGGGAAGAAAAAAACATGTAACAGAGCAGGTGCATCAAAGAACTTGTGACTTTGATGTGGTTTGAGTTAAGAGCTGCATCAGTGTGCGACCAACAGAGGAACAAATAGAGGTTAGTTCCACGCTGACAAGTAGATAAACACAGTGTTATGGCTTTTGAGCCTTCTTCTGGTGTGGGCTTGACATCTTTGCAGCAGTAAAGCAAATGTAACAGACAGACAAAAACATATTTTTTGCAGACTATCCAGTTGCGAGAAGATTGGTGGTGTGTTTAGTTTCTTGTTTTTTTTTTATTAAGCGGGTATGTTTTTCTTAATTGCTTCTAGATTCTAGTAGTAAATTAGACTTGTGTTTGTGCTAGAGGTCACTAGGAAGCAGAGATGACAGTTATATGTTTACATTTTTTAATAATTTAAAATTACCTTCCTCAATTAAACTTTTTGGCAAATAATCAAATAATATTACAAATGCAGTATTTGAGTAATTATTCTTGTAGACATGCATTTCTAAGCCTGGAAGAGGTCTTGAGACTTAATTGGATATGTTTAACCCTGCTGCACTGGATTACAACTGCTACCCATTGAATGCGACCTACAAAACCTTTTGAATGATTCTCCTTAAGAATTTGGGGAACCATCTTAAAATAAAACAGCAGACCATTTCTTATTCTCCTGAAGCATAAATATATGACAGGAACACTAAATCAATGAGCAATTCAGCAATTCATTTTTTAGATTCGTCAGGCCCAGAGCACAATTTGTTTTTCAACAGGGTGACTCCACTGTCGTTGGAACAAGCAAACTACGTGATCTCTATGACCGGTTTGAGGAAGAACTGGTTAAGAGACAAGAGCGTGCAAAGGCAGCAAGACCTGAATGGGAACCACCAAAAACAAAACTGGATGAAGATCTAGGTACTGTATAATATTGGCAAAAATCCAAATTACGTAAAGAAGCTGGTTAGATTTCGCCAAACTTTGTAATTTGAATGAAAAATAATGGTATTTTGCAGTAATGTTTCTATGGTTTTGAAAATGCTTTATGACTTTGCTGTGTAATTAACGGAGAAGTATATCAAAGAAGCATTTGATTTTCCTCTGGCCTCTTTTGGTTTAACATAATCATTAATAATGCTTCTAAACATTCTTGACCCCATTCAGATTGCTCATACAGAACAGAACCCTGGAAATTCTGCCAGTCACTTTAAAAACTACTAGAATGAAAAAAAAAACCTTGGTCTAGGCAGATACAAGGCAGATTAATCAGGAACAGCCAGAACAAAGCCCACTTTTTCTCAGCATCAAAATATGGGTAATGTAGGAGCTTTCTTAGGTTGACATTGATGTTGACAAATTCCAATTAAAATGACAAAGAACAGCTCTGTGTTGAACCTTCCCACAAGGACCATTCATGTGCTTTGCCCATTAAAGTTTTTTTTTTCCTGTTTGGCTCCAGATGAGAGCTCGAGTGAATCAGACTGTGAATCAGACGGGGACAGTAGCTGTACTAGTAGCTCTGACTCTGAGGTCTTTGACGTCATTGCGGAAATTAAAAGAAAGAAAGCTCATCCTGACCGCCTGCATGAGGAGCTTTGGTACAATGATGCTGGGCAGGTACATAAATAGTTTTTTTTTTCATCATTACCATGCAAAAGGAATACATTTACCTTAAAATACCCTCTTGCCATTATGCATTATCCAAAAGAAATCTGTTACTATTACTTGCTTAGCAGACCTCCTGAGTGACGTGAAGTAATCAGTATGTGCAATTCACTGTCCAATGTCACTTCTGAAATATTGTTCTACAGAGACCTTTTAAATTATAATTCCTTCACTTAAAGGATTCTGTTATCCAAGGAAAGTTGCATTAAAATGACAATGAGTACAATCAAGTGTCTAAATCATGTAATGCAGTAAATCAGGTGGTAAGTCAAAGCTATTGTTAAAACAATCTATTGAAATGTATGATACAAGGTACAGAATGAATAGCATGATGATGAACAGCAAGATAATGTGATTAAGAATAAATAAATTCGTTGCAATCATGGCTTTGCAATGCACAGTGAAACATGCAAGGTACTTCTGTGTCAGATATCAAGCAGTGTAGTTCCGATAATGGATTGCATGTTTCAGTGCAGCTATGGAACAGACACATTTTCTGTCTTGGTAACTATATATTGAACACCGTCATGACTGATAGGCATCAGTAATGCTATCTACATCTGCTCTCGCTTTCACACTAAGCTCTATTATTTTTCTGAACGAATCTGATTAACTTCAGTAGAATATTTGTTTCATTTTAAATTTAAACTTTTATTACTGATACACATTATCATTTAAGCCAACATCAGATATAATTATGTGTTTTTGTCTTAAATTGAGAATATAGAAATGCTCTTATTCAGTCTACTGTAATATGAATACGTATTAAGAATCCTCTGTCTCTTGTATGTCTGACAGATGAATGATGGGCCACTGTGCAAGTGCAGTGCCAAAGCCAGACGCACAGGAATCCGACATAGTATCTACCCTGGGGAAGAGGTGAAGGTTTTTTTTTTTGTTTGTTTTTTGAAGTACACATCTTAAGTCTGTTGTAGTGTTGTGGTGCTATTTCATTAATGGTTTCCTTTAACTTTGAGCAGGAGAATATTTCGGTTATTTGAAAATCCAATGTGCTTTACAATCCGTGTTGTAATGAACCTGAAAAGAACTGTTTGTGTTGAACTGTTTGTCTTTTTTAGCACGTTAAAGCATGTCGCCCGATGACCAACAACTCAGGAAAACTGTTTCACTACAGAATTACAGTGTCCCCACCTACCAACTTCTTAGTAAGTACTTCTGGAAGTTAATACAAAAGTGCATACGTTGTTTGTAAATTGTTTCTTGTCTGTTAACTGGATTCTCATCATTGGTCTTTTTAGACCGACAGACCAACTGTGATTGAATATGACGATCATGAATACCTCTTTGAAGGATTTTCTTTGTTTTCACACACTTCTCTTACCAATGTAAGTATTAGAATAATTGATCCTACTGAATGTTCTGGATTCCAATAATTGTATTTTCAAGTGTATTAAGCATTATTTATTATGAATGATTTTCTATTGAAGGCTTCATTGTTTATTTGTGTTATAGCCTGCTCTGTAACAAAAGAAGAAAGTTACTTTTTTCTTTGTACTAGTAAAGATCACAGTAGAGGACATCTCCAAACACAGAGGTCACTCCCAGTCCAGTCTTCATTCTGAAGGAGCAATAGTTGGAAAAAGTGTGAACATCTTATTACCCTTTCTTGCTTTTGACTAGTGCTTGGAGTCTTTAATTGGAAGTCAGAACAAACATAAAATAAGTAGCTGGAAGATGGGGGAAAAAAAGAACCATAGCATAGAAACTCAGCATAAGATCAGCCAAAAAAGGTATTTGAAATTTATGACAGAAACAATTCTGCGAACAGTCAAAGTAAACCCTAAATCATCTATCAGTGAAAGTATTTTCCGGAGTACATGGTTGGAAGGTATGAGATTTCACAGTTCATGGAAGACTGAGATGGCAGAATTAAATAGGCTGTACTGTAAAACTCTCATCAGTACAAAAATCAGAATGTCTACATTAGAATTTGCACAGAACAAAAGATTAAAAGGGGCAGTTTTAGGGACAGTTGAAAAGTTATTTTTTTACTAAAGTGATTTACATTTTCAAGTGTGGAGAAAAAAAAAGGAAACGTAGATGCTCTAGACATTACCATCTAATCTGTGAAGCATGGCAGTGGTAATAATATTATAAAAATGGTAACAAATGAGAGGTGACCATTTGGCCAATCTGACTCATTTGGTAGTTGTAGCATAAATGCTGTTAATTCATAAAAAGTGCAAGGCTCTATGGTTCGATTTCCATAACACTATGAACCATATAAAAGTTTAATTCTAAATTTGTTTTTCTCCATCGCAACACATTTTGCCAGACAATTCAAAGGAACACAAAACCCACAAACACATTTGAACTTTTTGAATGAATTTGGTAGCTCAGTAAGGTTTTCCTGTCTGATCTGCTGATGACTGATTTATCTTTGGCATTCCAGCCCCGGGCTGTGGTTGTACCAGGCTGTTCGCTCTGGTATCCAAGCATTTATCTTGTATAAATGTATAATGTACACATGTATAAATGATGGAGGGACACTTGGCCTACACATTGAGCAGGCGGGTGCAATAAATATGACTGTACCAGTTGAAACTGAATAAAAAATGATGACCTTTAGAGAGAATGCTTTTTTATTGATAACATGGTGGAATCTGTAATAGGGGAATGTCTCTTGGATTTATGCTACCATGCAGAGAAAAAGAGTACTAAACACAAACGTGCAGAACCAAGATTTTCCATAGACTTTGTAAGCTCTGCAGCCTTAATCATTACCACATGTAATGGCCTGCGTATTGTTATTGTTTTGTGTTTTTTCTGTGCTGATTTATTCCTAAATGCCAATACACTATTCTGCTTAACTAAGTCAGTATTTAGCGTAAACTGCCGTAGATATTCTTATCATATGGGTGAACTGCACAACAGGGTCACATAAGATTATTAATTGCACTAGCAGGTGCTTGTTTGCCGAGTTCTGGGTTGTAGACCTGCTGTATTTGACATCTTTTTTTTTTCCCCGAAAGCCTCCCAGAAGCTTCCAGGCTATTGTGGCGCCACAAAGCAAATATGCAGTTAATGCGCCATTATAGAGAATAATGCTGCAGGGTTTAAAGAATACAAGTGGAAGAATAGAAATGGGAAATCAATGCCTGCCTAAGCTTGACCAAACGGATGGGGTTATAAAGGGTTTAAGAGCAAGAGTATAAATGATTTAATCAGGATTTTATCTCAAAAATAATTCTTTGAGGATTAAGTAGCTTATCAAAGGATAATTCACACTCTTGGAATGGGATGTGCATAAGTAACAGAATTAGAAATGGATCAACAAGCTCAGCATTGGGAATTTGAGGCAGTGTGTAATTTACAAGTTCGATGCAGAACACGAGAGCTAGCACAGCGACTTTCGCCCTCCAACTCCCCAAATCCGTTTTCTCTGATAACAAAGAACAAGAAATGTAATGGTGCGATTAAACAGGCAGGAGCCGACTTAATCTTTTAAAACGACTAAACTTGTTTAATGTTTAGAAAAGTCCCAGTGAAGGTGCTTGGCAAATCATGTTTTCAGCTTTTATGAGTTTCTATTCAATGTTAACTCTGTCAATAATACTTAGCCATATCATTTGAGGCATTTAAAGTGCTCGTCTTTTATCCGCAGATTCCGTTATGCAGAGTGATCCGTTTTAACATAGACTACACCATCCATTTTATTGAAGAGATGGCACCTGAGGTAAGACTTTTTTGTTTAACAGTGCCTTTTATGCTACAGTACTGTAATTTGTACTTCATGGAGTTAACGCACTTCCAGCTTGTGGTGTGAGTTTAGAAGAACAGTAGAAATGAATTCCGGGTATGAATTGTAATTGTTATTGTGGTATTGGCAAGCTCAGCTGTGGTACCATTGCCTTTTGTACTGTACCGACACTCATCACATCTCCATCACTACTCAGAGTTGTTCCTTACAGCCCTGATTGCAAATATCACCTTGTTTTGATTATATGTAGCAGTTTAATTTATTGAAGGAAGCATACTACTGGGAAGCTCATGTAAATGTCATCTGAACTCTGTCATTATTACTTTGGTTTCAGAATTACTGTGTGAAAGGTCTGGAGCTGTTTTCTTCATATTTGTTTAAAGACATACTTGAGCTATATGACTGGAACCTCAAAGGTATGGATTGTTTTTCTTGCATTTAAAAGTTGGTAACAACCAACATTCTGTACAAAATATGTTTTTAATGGAAATAACTACTGAAAATTACCTTTCATAAAACCTTGCCTGTATTTTCTTTATTTGTCTTTAAAAATTACTCAAACTTTTAGTTTATTCTTTTTAGGTTTTCACCATAGGACAAGCAGTTCTGGTGAATTTTTGTATAAATGCATATTAGAGCAAAGCTACTACATATTTAGGGGGATGGATGAAATACCCTGAAACTTAAAATTATACAAATTCAGTGAGCAATCATTTTGTAATATCAGTTCAGCAAATGTAGCCTGCATATTTGATAATTAAATTTTTTAAAACTTTGATGTTTGAATCATTAAGAAGCCCCATATCTATTTTTCTCATTTTTAAAATTGTTACAATTTCACATTATACAATTTTTAAAAATTATTACATACATTTCCTGTGAGCTAAGGAAAGCAAATGTCCTTAAACACTTTATTGTTTGTTCAGGTCCTGAAAGTGATACTGATTCTCCCACCTGTCCAAAATTTCATTTCATGCCCCGTTTTGTGAGATTTCTTCCAGGTGAGCACTTCCTATAAACATCCTTTTATTCCATCTATCCATTTCTAACCGCTTCATCCTGGCCTATCCTGGCAAATAATGGGCACAAGGCGGAATACACCCTGGACAAGATGCCAGTTCATATGCACAGATACAAATGCACACACACTCGCATCAGGGCCAAGTTTCCTGGGAGCCAATTAACTTACCATTGTTTAAAATTGTTTAGTTTGTTGTGTGATGCATTTTCGAAGAAATACTGCCCTCATGTGGTCAAAATGTGTTACTCTACCTTATGAAGTTAAATTTTGTTAAAAGTACCTACATTCGTGGCTTTAATGTTTTAGTATTTTCTTATTTTTTCATTTGATAGTTTTATTTTGTAAAACTGGCATTTTAGGGATAATAAATAAACAAATATTACAATAATTGTATTTTAATAAATAAAATTAAAAAAGGCCAGTGCATTAAGAAGCAAGCATACACTGATTTCTGTTCCGTGTCTAAGCTTGCTGTCTCAGATCTAGACATAACGGATTTGACTTGCGTTGGGGATGCAGTACGTATTGCAATCCATGACTGCTTTCTTGGGGATCACTGTAGATGTGTCTCCAGCATTTGGGTCATGGGCAACTTGATACAAGCGTGGAAGGTGAACTAGAAAGGGTGATGTACCGAGTATTAGTTTCATTTTCAGAACCGGTTGCAAATGTGGTGACAAACTCTCTGCTTGCGTACAGATGGGGGTAAAGAGGTGCTGTCAATGCACCAGGTGCTGTTGTATCTGCTGAGAAGTAACAAGCCGCTGGTGCCCGAGGAAGAGATTGCCAACATGCTGCAGTGGGAGGAACTAGACTGGCAGAAATACGCAGAAGAGTGCAAAGGAATGATTGTTACCAACCCTGGGATGGTAAGGGCTGTCTGTGAAAAGTTGTCTAGCTTCAGGTTTTCTTGCCCCGTTGTGGAGATGTCTAGATTTACAGCACCTTGAAGTACCTTCATGTTCTTTCATAAAGGACAGTCTTTCATTGTCCTTCATTTCATCTTTCATAAAGGAAAATCAGTCTTTTGTCAATTTCTTTATTTTTAGTTATCAAATAGTGTTGCAAAATGTCCAGTTGATTTTTCACCAGGAATGTTGAAATATTTACTAGTCTCAGTAAAAATATTCGGTTACATTTAAGTATAGTAATCGGCTTTTTTCACCTGTTCGGGACTTTCTTGTGTTTTTTAAAAGGTTGGGAAGATTAAAGAATATTTTCAGTTGTACTTGGTATTAAGTAATGGATGTTTTTCAGAAGCCCAGTTCAGTTCGGATTGACCAGTTGGACCGGGAGCAGTTTAACCCAGACGTTATCACCTTCCCAATCATTGTACACTTTGGGATAAGACCTGCACAGCTGAGTTATGCAGGAGATCCACAGTACGTCAGTCATTTATTTATATTATCATCTCATTTTCCTAGTGAGTGTTTTGCACAGAAAATATTATTTAAACTGGATTTCTGGTAATGCCTGAAACCAACATACCATTTGCATAACTGTTGTGATAGATTTTACTATTTCCATGGAGTGTTGTGGTTCATGATCTCGGTATAGTTTGCTTTTTATCGTAGCACTTTCCTTATTTGCATTGGTAATGGAAATTATTAGCAGGTAACGGACATTTCTGTCTGCTGTATTGAAATAATTAAATTTTAGCTTCTTTAATTACATATCATATTATAGACCTAACTAAAAAAAAAAATTTGGGAATGGGAAGGAAAGAACATAACTTCAAATTGTTGTTTGTAAATATATGGCACTATGAGTAACCGTGAATTCTAGGCTCAGTAGAAACCATCATCAATAATATTCACTCCTGCTCATCAATGATATTCACTCCTACTTCTGAAGGGTTGCATTTCACTAGGTATTGTAGGAAACCTATAATACAAAACGATTAAAGATCCTGGTCACAGTTGTGATATAGACCAATTAAGTGGAAAACTGAGTCAGAGTCATTAAAAGTCCAAGGTGAAAACACAGCAGCCCTCCAGGACCTAGAGTATATATCTGTGCCTTGGGCAATGTCAGATGCAAAACTGCAGAGGATTGCTTTTCCTGCAATAAATGCAGAATCTACTATGGAACTGAAAAAAAATGCTGACAAAATTGGTTTCAGAAGTAGTTCTAAAGCTGCTAAAGAAGGCAGAAAAAAAGTCGTTTGAAATCCTTAAAAGGTTTGTTTTTAAGTTGAGGTAAGGCTGTAGTAATCTGATAATCACACAAGTAAGCCTCCTTATTTATTATCCTATAATGAGTTTCCAATATTAAGTCCTTAATTGGTCCTTTTCCTAGGTTAATGAAGCCTTTTGGGGCAATGAAATGTTCAGTCACAAAAACATTGGCCATTTTGGTCAAAACATTGGAGAAAATAGACTATACAAACAACTTTTAAAATATTAATTTTTGATTGTAAAGTAAGTTAGATGTTTTATGACAAGTTTGTGTTTTGTAACAAAATACTGATGTACGCTAAAAATACTAGTTAAAAAAACGTACAGTTAGTTTTTTATTTATTAAAAACAATTGTAAAGCTTTGCCATGGAAAAAGCCTTTTGTTGCAAAATAGCCATATTTAGATTATTTTCTTAATCAGTGCTATAAACTTCCTACAGTTATTCCAGGATTACAGGATTTTGAATTGAAATTCACTAGGGACAAGCTGGCACAAGTTGTTAATTTTTTTCCCCCCTAACTCTGGATAATCTGACACTGCAGAAGAAACTAAATAATAAGAAAAATAACTAATGAGTGGTTTTCAGTTTTGGGGATCAAAATTTGCTCTGGAGTTCTTTTAACTTAATTTATTTACTCAATTTATCCAATGTCATGGAAGACACACTGGATTAAGGCTGGAACCAGGTACCAGGGCTGGAAGCTTCTGTAAAGTGTATTGTCCAATTGCTACAATAAAATGTTTTCCTCCAGTTGAAATATATTATCACGGCAATTTAGGAAAACTCAGAGAGTCTTCCTGTGCTCCTCTTGTAATGTTGATGACAAAAAGGCTTTCTATCAGCTTCAGAGATCCATCAGCTTTAACAATCTAGTGCCAGGCATATTTTATGTATTTTAAAATAGTCCTTTATGATGAAATAGGTCTATAAATTGGACATAAAAGAGCTCTTGATGTCCTTTCTGATTTTATAGCAGTTATTCTCAAGTCTGTCTTTCCTTGCATCACAAGAGGAAATAATTACATAGATAGAAGGCTCCCTTGTCATTTAAGGAAAGTGCATTTGTATAGTATCTCATTCTCTTTATTTAAAAAGCCATCCTTAAGGATTTTGTATATACCTATTTATCATAAGGCATCTGAAGGAACCAATATGCAGATTGTTTCCAAAGCTTGAAATTGAGCACAGAAAAATGTTGGCATCTCAAAACATTCAATCGTGCTTTATTTCAGGTATCAGAAATTGTGGAAGAGCTACGTGAAACTTCGGCATCTGCTGGCCAACAGTCCCAAAGTCAAGCAAGTTGACAAGCAGAAGCTAACACAAAGAGAGGTATTTTTAATGTTCACAGCACAGATAACGATGTATAAATCTGCGTGTAACTACTTAAGAGTGCATAATAAAAATCCTCTTGCGTTATCCAGTACTGTATGTATGTTTCATCAGACCCTTTGGACTTCCTAATCCTCAGCTTTAATAAATGCTCAGCATCCTCTCTCTGACTCTGGCTCAAGTTTGCTGCAGCCCAGTCAATTACTGGATTTTTCTGTGAGGTTAAAATTTCAACTGCTGCAAGCAATGGTACTATAAAGGCAATACAGAGCTTGACACGCAGGCTGTCAGAAAGTAAATCACTCCAGCTAAAATGAGTAATTTATGCCCTTGTGCAAGGGCATCAGCTATAAGAGGACTCATGAGATGTGTGCTTTTGGTCTGCCTGTGTGTCATATTAACATTTCACAGCAAAGAGGTATACAAGTCATATTACCCAGTTCTCATCTAGGTGTCCGTTTTTATCATCTGTATTGATTTACTGTATTGAAGTACTCCATCTGAGAGAATGTGGAGCTTTGTGGCCGGAAGCAAGATGTGAAGAAGGAAGATGAGACTGAATTTCATAAATTAAAAATCAGCTGGTCTTTTGGATCTCTGTGAGAGAAAAGTTCTTAAGCATGGTCCAGAGCTTTGATTCTGCCAAAGGGGGAAAAAAAAGTATTGAGGCGCACGAAAGCCCAGAGAGCCTTTAGAGTTGTCTGTGAAGATGTCATAAGTGGCATAATTCACAAGACAGGAAGCAAGTGAGGTGGACATTCAAATTCCTCTCAACTACTATATAAAGTCTATATAATACTTTTAAAGCTTTCAGGTGTAAGCATTTTCCATGTTAGGCTTACTCTTGGAATCTGTATAACCTGTAACAAACCCTGGGGTCCCGAATCAAATAAGATGGCAACCAGGTGAGAAAATACAAAATATGAATCCCGTTAGAAGTCTATTTCTGAGCTGCTGCACCTGTTGAATTGAAGCTTAATGGGTATCATCTACAACTAATTCAGCTGAAAAGCTGGTGCCATAATGTTGATGCCCACTCTGGCATAATCAGCTGCCTTCTGAAACACAGCCAGTAATGCAGACTGCTCCTGCTCACCAACAGCTAGGCCACTTGTGCTTCTAATTGTATGCATAATGCAGTTTTGACTTTCGATAATGCTCACACGACTACTGCCTGTGCACGCGATATAAAAATTGAACGGTAATTACAATCTTTTTCATTTTTGTGCTTTTTTCTCCTGCGTCCCAATTTGTCTTTGCTGTTGTCTGACACCTGTAAGGGGAGAATCCCTTCTGGCTTTAACCAGTGATCAATTATTCACATTGTAGGAAGCTCTTCAGAAGATCAGACAAAAGAACACTATGCGCCGTGAGGTGACTGTGGAGCTCAGTAGCCAAGGTTTCTGGAAAACAGGCATCCGCTCTGATGTCTGCCAGGTAGTGAGAGAGCTTCTGCTGTGTTTGGCTCTGCGGTGCTTCATTGAATTACAAAGGACATAAGTCATTTTTTTTTGTAGCCGGAGATGTAAAGTCCAATTTGTGATGGAAACCACACTAAAGGCTCCATGTTAAAATAACTTGTCAAACTGTGTTTTAAAAAAAAAGACATCAGTTTTATAATTAATCGAAAGCTCAGAGGTAGGAAACTAATTAAAGCTAGTATATGTAAATATGTAAATGTATTTTGGCTTAATTTTTAGACTCGGGTGATTAAGGAGCAGACCAAATTGTTTTTTTTTTACCCCACAGGATACCAAACTTATCCTGTCAATTCAGTTTGTGGCTTTTTGCTTGACATTTCTCAGTGAATCATGATCTGTAGTTGATTTTGTAATGTCTTGTACTCTTTCTTTTTTCTGCCAACAGCATGCTATGATGTTGCCAGTCCTTACACATCACATTCGTTACCACCAGTGCCTCATGCACCTGGACAAGCTGATAGGATATGTGTTCAAAGAACGGTGTCTTTTGCAGGTAAAAGAGTCCAAAGATAGGTCTTGAGTGGTTTAGGAAAGTGTCACTTGAATATGATGCATAACTTAAATGTCATCACCCCACCCCCCACCCCAAACAGGGGACCTCGTAGAAAAGACATTTCATTGCCAGCAACTACTGCTGCTGCACACTGTATTGTTGTGCATTTGATCAATAAACTTTGATTGATTGAAGTGTTAGTGTTAGCTTTAAGCATTAACAAGGGAGCCTTTTTAACCTTCAGCTTGCTTTCTGAATTTTTCTCACCTTGCATAGTTGCATATTCTTAAGATTACTGACCTTCAGACGTATTGCACGGTTTTGTTTCTCTCATGTTGCAATGCTCAAGAATTTCGGATAGCTTAATGATAATTTCAAAGATCTAATACCAATGATTTTTAATTCAGCAGTTTTGGTACGACATAATCTTGCAGGTTTTATCTAGTTGAATACCAGGCTGTTCATTACCCTCTGTTAGCTATTCAAAACTGGCAATAGGCTTTTTAAATAAAATTCAAAACCACATTATTGTGTTAAATGTGTTGTGGGAAAAATATACTAATTAAAAATAAAATCCTATTTACATATTTGTACATTGTACTTGTACATTATAGATGATTAAGGAATGTCTCTGATTATAACACCTGATTCAGTTGCTCTAGTTTAAAGTAAAGGAAACATGCATTTGGGATGTAGGTATGTCTAATATACCTGTATAATGTTAATGTAAATCCAAAAACATTCATATAAAAGTGTCATTATTTTAAATAACATTTGCAATTATGTCGTATAGACTGTTAATATATCTGTTACTTTTTATTTTTCTTCCATACAGAGTTAAGACAAAAGTTATGTTTTTAATTTCTTTCACATAGGGTAAAAATGCATTAAACCAAATATCTGAATGTAATATTTATGGACTTGCATAGACATGGTTAAAAATAAGCAAGAAAAAAAGATTGGGTTTAATGTTATCACAGTCTAAAAAAGAGATCAAGATTTTCTCATCGTAAAAGAATCCTTTTAAAGATTTTATGTCGACTTTGCTGGTTGCCGCAATGTATTAAATACCCCACCTTAAAGGGGAAAAGAGATCTCAAACCTTTTTAATAATTCAACTATTCAATTTCACTGTGCTTTTTTTATTTTAGTTGGTGCCAGACAGCATATTTCTATATTACATTGAGAATTTCAACAGAACCACTTCATTTAGGCATTAGTCTTTTTCACTTCCAATTATGTGTATCTGTATTCACATAAGCATATATAAATCATATACATAATGTAAATGTTATATCAATTTTTTCAATCAAATTAAATCAATTTGTATTCTAGATGTCTATATTTGTCATATAGCCTTTTATTTTCAATCAAACAGTCTTCAAAATTAGTTTTCATCTTTTGCAAATAAAACAATTCTGTTAACAAAGTATATACCCGCTAAAAGTATACAATATTTTGCATAATGTTTTAATATGAATGGCACCACTATCAATTGGAGGCACAGCTGTTTTTATGTAGTTCTTTTGTTGATAAGCTGCTCTTCATCTACAGTTGGCAATGACTCACCCTAGTCACCACTTGAATTTTGGAATGAACCCAGACCATGCCAGGAACTCATTATCTAACTGTGGTATCAGACAACCTAAATACGGAGACAGAAAAGTACACCACATGTACATGAGAAAAAAAGGTATGTGCTGTAAAATTACATATTTTTTTACTGTTGTTGGTCAATTCCAATCTTTAAGAACTGGGACCATCAGGTGTTGCTGTTATTTTTAATTAATTTGTTTTTACACTACAATTATTTTTTAAATTATTATTTACCAGTGGTTGTCTTCCTTTTCTGCAGTATTTGTTCTAAGGACCTATGCAGTGTAAAATATTTATTACACCTAAGAAAATACAATTGGAAAGCAGGCAAAAAAATTCAGCTTCACCTCACTAGGGTTACAGAAACAGTAGGGGAAACGGGGCATTATTTAGGGGTTCATGTGAGCTCTCAATGGAATTACGTTTTATAGTTTTGTGTTGACAGTGCTAAAGTAACATTGGCAACCCATCACAAAGTCACAAATCCCCTCTGAGTCTAAAAAAAGTATACAAAAGTGTTGGGAGTGCTTTGACCAAGGTCAAAACTGCTTGTTTTGTAAGCGATTTGTATTTGTAATCGTTATGAGAAACCTAACTCATCAAGTGATGTCATGGCCTGGGAATTCTGAAAATTCAATGATTCTATATTTGTATAGAATGTATTTATATATTATAAAATAACTAAAAATATAAAAATAAATTTATAGTCAGTTCTATATTTCATTAGAATTCATTATAATTATAAACAGAACATATAAATATATATTCTAGATATCTATTGTAGCTGTTGCTTGTTCATAGAACTCTAACACGTTGAGCATTACCCTTATATTGAGTGACTACAATGCTAATTTAAATCAAGTGTTTGGGATTTCACCTTCGTTCATGTGCTGTACACGTATTTATTTTCTTGTGGAGTATTATTAAACAGGGTTCATAAAAGAGCGTGCAGTCACCACGAGCAAAATTACAGTGCTTTTATGGTGAATGACAAGCTGCACTTATTCTATAATTCATGAAAGGTGAGGTAGACCCCTTTTTGAGATTGCTGTTTACATGTAATGATTAACTGCTGCATATTAGTGCAATAGAGGTACCTCATTGAATTGATCAAATAAATTACTCAGGTTATTTTGAAGTAATGATTCTGAACAACTTCTATATACATAATGTCATATGCAAACTCAAATGATAGAATGTGTAATTAATAACACTGACAAGCTTTCAAACTATATTGGCTTTTATACGCCAATGGACAAAAACACTCAGGTGTAATGGATTTAAGCAAAAATATTAACCTTTTTAGCAGTTTGGTGTAACTGACACCTTTCAATTATGCAGTGGTACATTTTTATGTTGTGTCCAAATTACAGTGAAAGTAGAACACGAACAACCAGTGATTTACTTTTAGTGTAGTGTGATAGGGTTGCACTGCTAACTGTGAAATACATTTAAGTTCCTCCTTGGTTCATTTTCCTTTCAGGAAGGTGAGATGACTCATTGGATTTTTGCTTCGTGGGGAGAGATAGTTTTGTAATAGAATGGCGTAATATATGTATTCTGTATTTTAATCAGAGTAGTATCATAAAAATGCAAGTCATCTCTTCCTAAATTAATTGAGTGACCATAAAATTGACACTTCCCACATAAAAGTGTTTTATTGCTAATCTTATGCTGCAGAAACCAGCTGGTGAAAGGTTGCCAGTCACAGTACCTGCTGTTGATGACATTGGCAAGTTGTTGAATTTTCGTTTTGCTTCAGTGCATACTGAGTTTATACCTATTGTCTGTGCCTAGATCTATACCGAGTATCAATTGGCTAGAACTGCTATTTTCCTCCCCCATTAAGTTTACAAAGCCTTATTCTTTTCAAGTGGTATTCACACCAGTTGGCTACTGTCATAAGCCGTTGGCCCTCAGAAGATTCAGATCGCAAAAAGTATTAATTCATCTGTGTTTAATTCACTAGGTATCAACACCTTGATAAACATAATGTCAAGGCTTGGCCAGGATGATCCCTCACCTTCAAGGTAATATTTTTGTGTTGTTATATGAGTATAAAATCATATGGGGAATGCTAAAATGTTTTCTTAACATTGACAAATAGTTACAGAATTTCTAAGAAAGGGTCATAACTAAGTCCTTGTTGTTAGTGAACATGACATCTTTGCAAAGTAATTTTAGGAATTTCCTGTTGTCTTTTCTTTTCCGTTTTTGCAGTGCAAGACTTGTTGAAAAATACCTCTTTTAGGAACAAAATTATATTGAGAATTGTGAGTTCCAAAATAATGATAAATCATTATGTGGCAGTAAATATGACCATTTCTGGCTTTTCATTGATTTCTGTAATTCAGGCATGTAACAGGACAACATATTCCTAGGTTATAACAATTGTTAATGTCTCAGTTCTTCTGTTCATTAAAGTTTTTTAAGCTAAAAAGTTCAATTCTGTGAAACTGACTTTCAAGATATCAGCTCGTATGGAGCGGCCTTTTACTGCAGGGCTGTAATCCCGAGTTTGCTAGTCATGCCTATTTGTCTGGCAGAGGAGAAGATAGAATGGGTGTTAAGATCAAGAAAAACGGCAATGGAGAAATCAGAAGATTTCTGAAGTAGGTCAGATTTTGAATGGTTGGATATGAGGTGGGTGGCACAGTGGTGTGGTGAATAGTACTGCTGCCCCACAGCACTTGGGTCTTGGGTTTGGTTACAAACTGGGGTGCCTTCTGTCTTGAGTCTGCATGGTCTCCACTTGGGTTTTTGCCAGTGTGCTGGTTTCTTCCTGTCTTCCTAGCACATGCTACCAGGATTCATTGGTGTCTTAATTTGTGCCCTGTTATGGACTGGAATCCTGTTCATTGTGTGGTCCCCCCTTGCACCCTGGGCTTTTGGGATGGGATCAGGGTTACAGTGATCCCTGTCAGGGGAAGGAGGCTTTTGAATGCTGGAGCATGAGGTGATGTGATTGGAATAAATTAGGAGGAATGCCTAGGCTTGTGCCTAGGAGGAAGTATCTTGAGAACCAGTTTGAATGTAAATATGGACAATATATGGGTCCCAGTGCTGGTACTTGGGGATCACCTGTTCAGTGAGGGCAAGACATTTCTAGATATTTACAAAAGGAAGAAATCTGTACTGTTTTATTTGGAAGGAATAATTAAAGAGGTAGAAAGGGAACCAAACAAGAACCACCCAGGGCCTGAGATACCTAGCTCAGAGAGAGGATAGGAAATTGGTGTGGTCAAGCAGTGAAGGACAATTAGAATAGAGCGACAGAATATTGGAAAATCTCAATCCCACCTTCTATCCAGTACTTTTAGTACGAGTACTGGTTTGCCAAGATCCTTGCCAGGCTAAGACAGTTAAAAGCATTCGTTTATAAAGATACGTGTAAATGACAAAGTTTGTTTTAAGAAGGATTGGATAGTACAACATTAAACTAAATGAATCCTCAACATATGGAACTTGTTGCAATTATAATTACATGTTCATTGAAGCTTGTTGTTTGAGAACAAGCTTCAAAACCTAAAATGGTGTAAGTACCTGATATCAGCAGTATTGTGCACTTAAGGACGTTTTTGTTATCTTACAGAATAAACCATAACGAGCGCCTGGAGTTTCTTGGTGATGCAGTTGTTGAGTTTTTAACAAGGTAAGTTTTGAGATTTTGATGAATGCCAGGTATGACTTGTAGGAGAACGATATTGGAACTTTTCTGTCCTTATCCATCTGCTTTTTCAGTACACTGAAGTACCACCCTTGTCTACAAGTAATTAGATTGAGGTTTCCAGCGCTTGCGTTGATTTGTGAAGAAATAGTGTGCTTCACTTGAAACTATCTTAGATCAATAAAAATGCCTTGTGTTTTAGTTTGACACAGGAGATCATTTGCAGAACGCATGCCAAAATTAAAGACAGGTGCAGGCTGCTTTGTAAACTTTTGAAAATATTTTCCCCTTGTCTGTGCCTCCAATTACAGATAGCCAGATACAACAAGCCTTCCTTACTGCCTTATTTAATGTTGTGCTGCTGTACAGTCCATATTTTTAACAGAAACAGAGTGAGTTTAAGGAGAGAGTATGAACGAGAGCAGTAGCCCACACCAGCACTATTGCTCTTTATTTTTCATAAAGACTAAATCACGAAGCGCTGATTAAATGGAGAACAGTGAGCAAGTATGCGCATGTGCAAACGGTCCTCTTAATAAGACAGTGAAAATGGATCAGTTACCAGGATTCTGAATAAACAACTGTTACCAGATGGATGAAAATATTAACTGGGCATTATGAAATTGGAGCATGCCTGGTATGGTTAAGCAGATCAGGCTTCATGTATTTCAGCAAGCAAAAAAAAAAAAAACTTGTCCATTCCAAAGTAATAACTAATTCACTTTGTGTGAGATAGAAATTGCTGATGATTAGCAGTGGGAGCAATATGCTGAATTTGGGAAATCAGACCACCATGCTTTTCCAACACTTATAGAGCCATATTAAATCCAAAAAAGGTGAGGCCAAATTCAGAACTTTTTTAAAAAAACAGTGCTGATCTGTTTTCCTGATGTGAGCTGTGAGATGAAGGGAAAACAATTTATTAAACTATTATTTAAACTAACATGACATGGAGCTGTTGCTGTGATTGCTTTATTATTGCAAGGGGATGGGCGGAATAAAAAGGAGAAAAAAATAAAGTGGTAAGAACTCTGGACCCTTGCCCAGAAGGTGCTTTTCCCTTGACTGGACACTTGGATGATCAGAGCTACAGTATATGAGCAGTGCTGGGTTCCAGAGTTGCCGGAACTGGCCTCCCAATCAGGGAGGGAGTTGCATATCTCCGAGTCCATTCCTGAACTCCTCCATCTGATTCACACCATGAAATGTGGGATAAAATCTGCTCTGATGAGTTGCTTTGCTAGATGAATTGACTTCTCTTGCTTTTCTTTTGTTATTAGAATGTGTGAAAAAAAGGTTTGATGCCCACCCCTAGCCGAGAACCTCTGCAGTAGATCATGTGAAAGGCTGTTCACTGCTCGGTCGTGTCTCTTCATCTTAGGCTTTGATCTGACAGCTGCTCTCAATAACCTTTCCTTGCCATTCCCAGAAATGATAAACATGGATATGCAATAATAAAATAGATTTTTCTGAGCAGCATGAGAAAGGAAAAAAAAAGGTTGCTCTTTTTGTGCATTTGATGGAGGCGAAGCTAAAGGGGAAGCCCTTTAATAATTGCGGAACGGAACAGCGTGTAAAACAATTTAAAAGATATCAAATCTCCCAATGTGTTCAGAATGTTATGTGGAGCTAGAATAAAATATTTATTTATGCAGTACATTTTGAAGTATAAATTTTTAATCAGCAAAAACAAGGTACCGGCCCTTATCCTTCAAAAAAGCAAATAACCGTGAATTTTGTTCGCCTTTGAAATGAATGCTTTAAAACTATTTGGAAAGAAGCCAAGCACAGGTATGCCAGTAGTGTACTATTGCCTTTTCTGTACGGATGCCTTCTCAAGTAGAATGTGGAACATCTTTCTCTTTGTTTTACTTCATTGGGAAAAAAGGATTAAAAAATGCTATAGTGGTTTTGTACTCAGTCTTACCTCACTTTGACAACACAGGCATTTTCTATCACGATTTACAGAATATAATATTAATGTATCAGTTTTTTATTTAATTGTCACTCTCTTCAATGTCATAATCTGTAATGTTTTGTATAATTTCACATTAAAGTTTTTTTCTAAACGAAGTAATTGATTAAAGACAGCCAGGGGATGTATTTTACCACAAAAGAAAATCCAAATTGGAGAGCAGGATATAAACAGGTATGATCCTGATATGTATTTTGTGTTTGGATTCACAGTGTTCATCTGTATTATTTGTTCCCTAACCTTGAAGAAGGGGGTTTAGCTACATATCGAACGGCTATTGTTCAGAATCAGCACCTCGCCATGCTAGCCAAGGTTGGTGAAGTGCATACTGTTGTTTTATAATTCATATGTATGCATCATGTCAATACTAATATCTAAAATATAAACTGTAACTTATAAACCCCAAAATATCATTTAAACTACTAACGGTGGTGATTTGCTTATGCATTCATTGTCAGAGAATTGGAGCGGTACTGTATATTACTGGAGAGTATAAAAGAAGGAACAACCCTAATGCCAAATTAAAATATATATATATATTAAAATATAAGAACATGTGTCTCCTATTGTCAGGAATGAAAATAAACTACCCAGAGCTACTGGAAGAAGATTAACATTTATCATCAAATACAGTATTCATGCAAGATTGCTGATTTTCTGTTCCAAAACTCTCACAGAGCCTGGACAATCTTCCTGTTTTACCGATCTCTGAGTCCTGAACCCCAAGTATATTCAGTGGAGGTTTAGCATGTAGGGCCTTCACAGCATAACTAATTTTTGCTCTAATTTAGCAAAAAAAAAGCTGTTGTTGCACAAGCAGCAGGAAGCCATGTGTTTGTCGCGTTAGCACGTACCTCCAACAATCTCTGGTTGTTCTCTCGATAAGTGGGGCTTATTGGTTCTTTTCTATGTTATTCTTCCTTGATTTTCACTGGTTAATTCACTTCATATCCTGCATCCAATCAACTTTGCCACTAAGTGTGTGATTTAAGTCTTTTGCAGCAGTCAGAAGCACTCAAGTATATCATGGTCAGCCATGAATGATCAATTAAAAATTATGCCAAAAGCATTTAAGATGTTTTCACAATCTGTGTACTACTTGATTTTCTAAAATACAGCATGCAAAAATCCATCACATCTGAGCTTGGATAGCTTTATTAATAAAGTATTTTAACAGAGAAAAATATAAGTATTTGAAAATATTGTTATTCATTGTATTCTGTCTCTGTATAAGATGTTGTAGGTGAATTAGGATAACAGGTCTTTAGTGACTACAACCCTTGACTGTGCCTGTTAACTGAGCTGGTCCACAGTCTCTTATAATGCCATGTGCACAAGCATATGCTTGTAGTAATATGATGAAAGTTAATTATATTTAAAATATAACTCCCTAGAAACAGCTTTTCCCATTCTGTTTTAAATTGTAGGGATATTACTCAAATTAATGGGCTGGTATTTTCTCAGGGAGCCTGCATCAAAGACTACATTTTAAAACAATTAACTTGTAAATAAAATAAAATTAATCCTATTGTCCTCTATAGAGCACATCATTGCCATTACATGTTGTTGGAAATCCTCTTTTTAAAATGTAATACGTTTTTATTCCTGAAGGTCACATGAGTTTTGGCGCCACTTTAGTTTGATAATTACTCCTACCCTCTCTCTGATGATGTCTGTTTTTCAAAATGATGTTGGCGGCAGCTTATAAAGGTCTAGCTCAACCGTGCATGGTAACATCTGTCATTTCCACTAAGACAGACTTAGAGATGTATTTTTATTGTGTTTTGTAAAGACTGCAATTTGAGATCGAGATGGAAGTTCAATTTGATTATGCCGGAAATGATTGTTGTTATACCTCGTTCTCTTGCTTTGATATTGCAGAAGCTGGAGCTCGATCGGTTTATGCTCTATGCTCATGGACCAGATCTGTGTCGGGAATCGGACTTGCGGCATGCAATGGCAAATTGTTTTGAGGCATTAATTGGTAAGTTGTCCGGCATGTGGGGTTATTTATAAAATTCAAAGTGATTTTTAACTATAGTAACCGTTTCTAATGTCACACTTCAGTAAACCAGTAGTTTAAAGACAGACTTGCCCACATCTAATAAAACAGTGGAACAATAAAAAACAAGGTTTGTAATTAAGAAATGCATTCAGTTGTAATGTGCCCATTTTTCCGCATTGAAAACGACAGTATTTAGTATTTTCTTAATTTATGGGGTACCATATGTAGTTTTATGAAGAATTATGATAATATATACATTATTGTATAAAAAAATGAAAGTGCATCCTTTGAAAGTGGAGATATCTTCACATACACACACTAACACAGTAGTATAACTGTTCATAGGGGGTGTTCTGTCACACAGCCCTTTTATGAAAGCAAGAAATCCTGATTTTGATGATAGATTAAAGATTTTGTGCCTTTAGCAGGAATCCAAGCAATCTGTTTATTACCAAGATTTAAAGTCTTTTTCAAGGTAACCAGATGTCAAAGACCAGAACTGCAAAGTTGCGTTGAGAATTTTCTGAATTACAAACTCTTTCACTCTCTCTCTCTTTACTCTCAAGAGTCAAGTTTTTTTTTTCAGATATTTTTTTCATGAAGTTCACATGGTTAATAACTGCGTCCTGGTACTTAAGGCCTTTTGCTTTAGTGCAGTAAGTGCATTCCTTCGTGTATACATGGTGCAGGAGATTTGTGTACCCAGGTTACTATGAAAAGTATAAATATTTTTTTAAACTAAGCAGAAATGTCTGATAAGACTTTGATTTTCATTTCCATCCAACATGCATTCCACAGATGCTTTCCATCCCTAATTTCCATGTGCAGTTTATCTGTGGATTAAAGCCTTCTCCAAGCTACTGGGTAGCAGATGGTAATGTTTTGGATGCCATTCTAAGCTTTTCCTATTAGAAAGGCCAGAAAATAAAGGATTATCTCTGATTCACTGGATATCAGATTTTACAGTGTGGTGCAGTCATTGATGTGTAAGCAGTGCTCTTTTATTAATTGCAATATAAGAGGGTGAGCTGTCGTGATTTTTAAAAGAGGTTTGATCTTACTTCAGTTGTTTGTTCTTTGTGTTAAAATTGAAATTCAGTTTTAGTTGTCATTTTTATGGAAAGAAAATTGAACAATTGGAAGTTTGAAAATAATGCATATAATTTGAGTGGCTGCTAGGGGCATAGTCATTGGTATCACATTGCCTAAATCTTGATCATTTCCAACTATGTATATTACTTAAGCCTCATTTTAGGACTGGAATAGTTATGACTCAGACCCTTTTTATATTTTTTTAAAGTTAGACATTAAAATATATGCATTGTTATAATGTAGTAAAATAGTTTCAGTTATAAGCCTACACTCCACACATCTTATGTGCTTTGTGCAGATAAATCAGAGCTTTGTCTGCAGAATGTAAGTAAAATTTGTACTTAAGCTAGTGCTGGGCAATAATTCGATAACGATAATTATCGGGATATAATTTTCCTCGATATAATTTTAACAAAAGTTCGATAAATGTTCGATATATATATGTTTATGCTTCGCGCATGATATGCGCATCTGCACAAAATGCTGCACGAGTGCGCGTGTGTGTTGCAGACCAAGCAGCTAACGGGGTGGGGTTTACCCACACGGTGGTGGCTGACAGGATTGTAGACACTGAAGCAAATGCAGTGCTGCCAACGACCAGCTCAAAAAGTTGTTAATTTTTACCAATTAACTGTCTGGTTTCTTCAACTTTCACCCGGGAGAAAAAATCTGCCTTTAAACTTGAAATAAATAATTATTTGACATTTATCGTGATAATTATCGATATCGACTTGAATGAAAATTTTTATCGGCATGATGTTTTTGGCCATATCGCCAACCCCTAACTTAAGCCCAGAGACTCATAAATCTGAAGCTTATCCTAGTTTCTGCGATGCTAAGCAGACTGAGAGTGTCCATCACAGGTTTAACCACAGCAGGGCTGGTTGACTTTTACATAAAGTTGCAAGGACTGGTGCACCTTAAGTGAATTGTCAGTTGTCTTGTTTAATTGTCTGCAATGGGGACTTTAAACCCCAACCTTCCAGTTGAGAACAGAGATTCCTAACTGCCCTAACTCTATGCTGAAGTAGTTTAAGCAGGTAGCTGCATCAGCATGCGTAGGCTGCAAAGGAATAAGTAAAGGTAAATTCCATGCCAAAAAGAGAAGAAAAGAAACACAACTTTTCAGCTGTGGAGCCTTGTCCGGGTGTGTGACGCCTTCTAACACGATGCTGTCCTCTATCTGTGGTAGAAGGTGTAATGAAGAATTCATTTTCAGGTCTTAAACTAATATAACATGCCTCCCAAATCAGAAGCACATTAAACAAGGAAGCCGTTCTGTAAATCTTTATCTACTTTTTTAAAACCAAAGTTATAACAAGTGCTTCATGTCTAAAAGTCTGAAAGAAGTAAATTGGTCATCATGTTTTCATTGAACTCATTAATGTGCATCTGTATCTGCACTGGTGCCTTGTGAGAGCACACATACAAGGTCGTTTCATGCACCTGCAATGTGCATTTTGGTCTGACATTGTTTACCTGGAACATAACCTGCTACCACATTACAGCTGCAGTGCGTGATTTCAAAAAGGTTTGACATTTAATTTCAATTTAGTTTTACGTTGTTTCTTGAAATATCCTCAGCAAACATGAGTTGGTAGTAACTGCAGCTCTAGTTTTCATCTGGGCCCTGAATCTCCCTCCTTGTGACTCCTGACCAAAACCTTTCCTGATCACCTTTCTCAGTTCCAGAAGAACTGTTCATTTTGCCTAGGTGGACACAACTTGCCAGACTATCAAGTTTGCTAGCAGAGCGTTAAGTAGCTAAAGGCCATAACTCGTTAGCAGGGTCTAAATAGCTGCACTGCTGTAGTAATTATCTCAGTAATGATAATGACAAGGGTGTAGCCAAGGTAGGCACTCTGTTATGAAACACAAGTAGCCTGTCTGTGTGAAACAGCAGGAGATTTTGTTTCTGTCTTTATCTTTGGCAGCTGTAGAAATAACAAATGTGTGTATAGGCACTGGCTACTTCCTCAGGCCTTGTATAAATTTCAGATAGTGTTTTCCCATGATAAGGCTCCTAAATTTCAGCACTTGGAATTATAAAAGGAAAAATGCAATTTAACTTTAATACTTTAACCATCTTCACGTTATGTTAATGATCTTAATAAATCAAGTGTTTGTTTATATTATTGTTTTTGGTGTTATAAATATCTGTTCTGGAAATTGAAAATACTACAATTTTTAATCAATATATGCATCTATAGGTATACAGTATAACCTAGCTATTATACTCATTAACTTTTATTGTTACAGAATGCTTTATCATACAATAACTAGTATTCTGCATTTTTATAGTTTATTTTTTGTCACATGGCATGCCTTGAAAAAAATCTTCTTCGATTTATTACTTATTATCTTTAAGCTAAACAAATTCTCAAATAGTGTTTGACATCCATTTCTGTAAAAGTGCATCTGTCGCCCAAGGTTGTTTTCTGTTAAAAACAGTGCTATGTTTAGAATTCTGATTGCCACTTAACTCACCAATTAAGCACAGTTTTCTAATTATGAAGTTATCTGAGCCCGTCCATCTATCAGAATACACCCTGAATGGGATGTCCAGTTTATCACAGGGCTGACCCACAGGCACAAACACACATAAACACCCAGGTCAGTTTCTGCAGAAGCCAATTAATGTACCAGTATGTCTTTGAACCTGGAGCACCTGGAGCAAATCCCTATAGTCACAAGGAGAATATAAATACTCCACACAGATAGCACCCCACAAATTGAACTCAGGACCCCAGTGCTGTGAGACAGCATTTCTGACCTCAGTGCCACCATTGTGCTGCCTGTTGTCTGTATCATCTGCTTCATATCACATTTGTTGGCAGTGGAAAGGATGGGTGATTTTATGCATCATGCTCTGGATATATCAAAATATTTATACTGTGGTCTTGTGATGGTGTGAATTAAACTGGGAATCCTGTTTCCTTTCATACATAACCTTATCACTTTGCACATACCATCCCAGAAGCACAGTCACATTTCTTACCATGCATGTGTTGCTACACCTTTGTTTTTTTCATTCTCAGGAGATAGCTTGGAATGCAGGAAAGAGGATGTGAGCTAAACATTTTCCACAGGCAAATCACACATTCTCTCATATATCAGATTCACTGCTTAGCTTTGAGCGATTAACTGTTGGTAATGATGCATACTGCGTTTAGAAAGTGTTTTCAATAGTGTTTGGGTTTTCATGATATCCGACAAAGCTCAGCTACAAAAGGTTAATTATTTATTGTTGTTGGTGTCTAAAAATCTCAGTTAAGCTGGTCATTTTATAGCAAAAAATCTCATCATTTTGCTTTATTTAAATTAGGAAATATGTTGCCAAAATGAGAATAAATTGAGAATTTAGTGTTAAATTCAAAACCACAAAAGGCACTGAAACGATTGATGACTGACGTACACCCCAGAAATTAATTTGAACTCATTGTTTCCCACACGTTTGGTGCATTTAATCAAAGTAAAGTAAGCAACTAATAAAAGAGCCTTATAAAAACAGACATTCATGCTTTCTTACATATAAGTAACTAGATTATATTGAAGTTAAGGCAAAAAATTAAACATTTAAATGACCACAAAGTACATCCCAAATGGTCTGTGTGTACGTTCCGTGTGTCATTAGATTTAAATTAAATGTTTAAGTTTTTGTGTTGTAAACTGTCATGTCAGATGAAGTCTTATTGTCTTGTATTGCTTTGGGCTAAGACATTTCTCACTTTCAATGTTGACTTGCATTATTTTTCTGTTTCTCAAAATTCAACATGGATGCTTAACATAGATGTTAAATCATCCTTTCAAAGAGAGAAACGTTTAACATAGTTTGAATATGAATATTTAAATGTTCATCTAAATTATATTTAACAAAAAATGCATTTTATGCTTCTAGACCCTTCTCTGGTGCTATTATATTGAATAAATGTGCTGATCTGCATGGCTTAAAATCATATTATCTGAAGAGATTGCTTTGTGAGTATTCACACATGGAGATTACTACATATCTGGTTTTGCTGCAAGATTAAGCAATGCATTTTGTTTAAAGATGGCTATAATCCTGACTCTGATATTTATTTTACTTTATCTACAGGGGCGGTGTACTTGGAGGGTGGTTTGGAAGAGGCCAAAGAGTTATTTGGAAGGTTGCTGTTTAACAGTGAGGTAAAACATGTATGTAAAATAAATTGCTTTAGTTGATTTATATAAAATTTGGGTAGACATGCATACTTGATCTTATTTGGGACTTGTCATCAGTAGTTCTGTATCCTTTCTGTACCTATCAGTGTCCTGTTCCACATGTTAGTTTTGATTTTCATCCAAAATTAAAATTATGTCTGTATGTTTCTGTGACTTTCAGATATTCCTAAATTACATTACTGACTTGTGATTTATCTTGTACTTAACCCAATGTCAGCACTATTTTAAATATTTTATCTAAGCTAAAATTTTCCAGCTAGTTGTATGAATTAATAAGCTCCATGATATGTTGATCTTTCAAATTTCTGTAGCTTAGAAAGGGTAGATACTGTTTAACAACTGATTATGATAAAATCCATTTGCAAGGTTTTTACTTTGTACTACATTGCTTGCAAGGTCATCTTGGGCATAAGCCTTTATAAATTAGCAGTAGCTGTGTACATCAGAAATAGAGGATTACTGAAGAACTATAAGACACCACACAGGTAGGATAATGTTTCTTATCCTTTTATGCCAGTAAAAAAAACGTATTCAAACAGCTGGTTTATTGTATCTTCTGATTAAGACAGAGATTAAATAAAACGTCTCCTAGCCTTACTTGGTTATTTGAACACTACTACACAGAGACGATTGCAGTGGATGGTACAAATTGAAAGGATAAACCAAGGGGGAGGGAGACTACTTTGAACATTACACTGATAGAGGCGAAGTTGGATCTTTTGGGTTTTTGTTGTCATTAATCGTCAGTAGTTTGCTTTTGTGTTGCTCACCATCTTGTGCAGGCCAAGTCATTCTGAGCAAGTGCTCCTTTTATTTCTGTCATGACAGAACCGTGATCTCCCTTCACCAAATATTTCCACTGCCTACGAGCAGTAATTAAACGAATTGGTCTGTGTGAGTGATTAGTGTGCATTTGCTTCTGCCTTCATTTCTTTGTATCACCCTCAGGCTTAGGCTCCTCGAGTTTCATAGTTACTCTCAAGGCTGTCATTTGCATTTGCAGTAAAAGAATTTGGGAATCATTAAATGTGCCATCTTTCTATGAACTGTAGTAGATAGAAAATTGTCTGTAACCAGTAATGGGTAGTGGGTAATACTGCCCAAATGAAAATAATAGTGTTATTTGCAATTTGTGTTGAGGAAACTCTTATTTTGTAGCCTCATCTAGTGTATTTAGTCACTCCAGCCAAGACACAAAAAAGACTGTTGCAACAATTGAATGATTCTCCAAAACTGTGGGTGATTGCCTGCTCAGTGTGTACTAACATTCTGCCACCAGTAGAACCCGCCCTTCAAAATTTTCACTAATTGTGTGACTCCTAAGTGAATAAAGTATAGCAGTTTTTATATGTTTGTTGAGGAGTATAATGGTGGTCAGTCTCATAGGATATTCCATTTTTAGTTTGGATGCTGAGCTCATATTCAGGGTTCCTAGTTGTGCTATCTCATACAGGGATCTTCTGTGTTGAATAGGTAAACAAAAAACATGAATCTCGTAGGGGTTCAGTGCCGTCACAAAAATATCTGATCAGGTGTATTCAGTTGCCGCTCTGTAAAATAATAGGTTTTTGTAATGGTTTATTGTGGAGGTTATGAAATTCAGTGGTAAATTCTGAATGACCTGAACACCTGGAAGTCAGCTGGAAAGTTCAGTATTTTAAAAAGTCACTCAGTTAAGACAGAAGAACTACAAGTAATTAACTTATTTGTTGCTTTCTAATTAAAAAGTATGCTAAAACTATCCTAAAATTCTAAAAGTACTGCTACAGCTACATAAACAATGTTTAATATGATACAAATCCAAAATGATATGCTAAATAAATGCTATATAAGTACTATATTAAATATGTTATACAAATATGTTTTTCTATTTAATATGCATATGGGACAAATACATGAAAAGCCCAGAATAAAGTAAGGTTTGAAAATGAATAGAGGCATTATCCATGCTAATTGCTTTTCCCAATGTAAAGTCACTTAAGAATTCAGGATCCATCCATTCACCATCACTAGACTCCAGCAGTGCTACCTGCTGACAGAAAACACCCATAATGGACATAAAATGCAATCAACCGTTTATAACAACCCAATGTTAGAGCCGGGTTGTCAGACTCTTAAGGACCTCCTGAGGGATTGTATCCTCACCGTAGTAGCTACAGGTACTACTCAGTTTAGTGTCACTGAAGACCTATAAACCTAATTTCAGTCACCAGATGATCACTTGTACAGAGGTATCCGACTTGAATATATCCTGCAGCCTGTATACCATCTCAGACCTTCAAATGTTCCTGTTAGAAATATGCTAAAGTATATTTAGGCCAAATAGCAGAGTATTGAATATGCTGAATATTCTGTTTATGTACCATCCATGTAATTAGTAGGTAACCAATTTCTAATTTAGATCTCTTTCATTTAAATGGCTTTTTCTGGAATGAATGAATGCTATGCACGTTAGCTGTTAAAATTTCTTCTTGAATATTGCAGGGCCTTATCTATTACTCATCATGACCACCATTGAGAACAGAGCTCATGTTATGCATTATAATTCAGGGCATTAGATTTAAATGAACAGAGAAAGAAGAGCAGTGCCGTTTTTTTTTAAATGTAGGTTTACTGAGGTCCAAGATCATCTTTACTACCCCCACCAAGTGAGTAACTTCATATTAAAAAAATAATTGAATTATATTTCTGTGATTCTGCATTCAGAAATGGTTCTACTGCATAAATAAATGTAGCCAGAGTGGTGTTCCAATCACGTATATTATGGTGCACAAACATTTTCAAGTAAGAAGATTAAGATTTAAGTAAGTTAAATTTCACAGTAAAGGATCAGTTTTGTCGTAAGACTGTGTAAAAACATTTTCAAATAACAGTATTTAAAACTAAGAACATACAGTATCCATGCCTAGCCATAGGTTTCATTCAATTAAACAGGTGCTTTCATTAATGCTACCTTCAGGTGAGCGACATCTTTAGAATGCACATTGTTAAGGAGTTAATATGTCTGTCTATCATCAGAAAGCCGTTTAACACAGACGCATAGGGCTCAAGGCAGGACTGCATCCTAGACAGGATGCCAAACATACGGAAAAGCACACGGGGAATTTAAAGATGCACAGAATAACTTAGCCAGCATGTCTCTGGGATGTGGGAGAAGGAGAATACAGATAAATCCCATGTGGGCCCTGGGAGAACCTGCAAACTCCACAAAAGGTCTGCTTCAGGTCAGAATTTCACCCTGGACCCAAAAGCTTTGAGACAGCAGCTATAACCCTCATACCACTGCACTGTCTTGTAAACAGTGCTTGTAATAAGGCATACAAATATAGAAAGTACAGAAAGCATCAGATTTTCATTTGCAATCCTGATTTTGTTTTTATTTTCCTGTATGATAGTATTATTGAAAATAAAACACATATAGGACATCTTTGATTTGCTGAGAGCAGGTCAGTTTGGCGGTGACACAGTATGTCTATAATAAGGGAGAGAACGTGTTGTGAGATGTGGCATTCCCATCAGTTCAGAAAGTAGTGCCTATAAAATTAATGCTAAATGGCTTGAGGTGAAAAATGGAGATCAATTGATTATGAGTTTAGCTGCTATAGTGATGTACCTCCATGTCACCCTTTGTGGCAGAAGGAATACATAATAAAGGGATCGTTTGCAATTAAGGCATTCGCTGAACCATTTGAAATCATTAGATCCCCTCATTTAAAACATGATTGAAGTGTTTAAAACTAGGCTTTCTGAGAGAACAGCTGGCAGCACAGCTATTTAGACTGCATGTGCCTCTATGACCTTGACACTACAGCATCATTAAATTTGCTTTGAATTTTATGTATTTGTTTGTAAATGTTTTAGTTTGTAGGAATTTAAGTCTGCTTTTCTTCGTTTTGCATGCTAGGAATCTTAGATCCTCTGCACAATGTCTAATCTGTCAGTATCCTGTATTCCCGTCTCAAAGGATAACTGATCCAGTTATTCCAACATTGTGATTGTGACACCCAAATCTTCCTCATCAAGAATGGTACATAGTTAAGTCTTCAAATCCCAGAACAATGTACAAATGAATAGCGATGAAACATTTTGAAATGTACTGTCTATACATTGTTGTGTGTGTATAAAGATAAGAATTTATTTGACACTGTGCAAAAAAATAAGATGGGGTGGAAGCTGTAATATATAGATCTTATTTTCGAAGACTTTCCTATCCTAGATATCCTGGACATTTTCTGAATTATTGATTGTACAGACCAGGCAATGTTTACTTTATTTTTTTTTATTGAAAATTTTCTAGGTATGCCAGCAGAGTGTGCTAGGCATACACTTTCTGAAATTCCTGTACAAATGTAGACAGATGCCTAGCTGTGCTGCTTGAAACAGTTGGACTACCAACATTTAGTTGGTATGATATTTTTACTGTTTTTAACAAATGAAAAATTAGAATTCATTGTGCTAACATGAGTAATTGTATCTGCTGTTTAATCTTTGAGGAAATTTATTGCTTTCTGCTAATAAGCTAGGGTTTTAAAGGTAAATGCTTTGCTGTATTCAAGGTCTCTTGTCTTTATCTCTCTTTATCAATGTCTCAGGCAGAATGGTTGAAAAAAAAAACTGTCCTTGTGGAAATAAGTAGATTCTTTATTACCAGGGTCTTTCAGAAATGTAATTCCTGCTCTCTTTCAGGTTCATTCTTAGTTGATTGGCTATAAAATGATCAGACATTTATCAGATAGGTTGTATTTCTTATGTGCCTGCATGTCTGTAATGTCTCTCAGACCAGGTAAAATGGACAAGACTGCCTCTCAAGACTAGTCTGTTTCAATAGTTTAGACAAACTCCATTAAGATGGAGTAAAGAAGAAACTGAATTAAGATTGATTTATTGGTTTACCCCATCTGGCTGAAGAAACAATAGGCTGACCTCAGTAACAAAGCTACACCACCCACAGCCAGATGGAATGAGGCCAAAGAGCTGCTGATGCATATTGCTGGATGGATACATGTTTTAGAAACCAACCTGGTACTTGGGCTCAGGTTCGAAGACGTGTGTAAGGTTTGGAGTTGCCTTCCTTTCAGCACCATTAAACTAAAGAAATTTGAATATTAACAATGAATTTTTGGCCTCGTTGCCTCTCATTATAAGAGATTAAAACAAAAATGTTTTTTTTTTACACCAAACTTTCTGTCAAGATTAACTTTAAATGAATAACTGTCATTTATTTTGGCAGTTTTCATTATCTTAATAAAATATCTTGGCCTGGAAAAGGTTAAATTGTAAACAAAGAAAATAAATTAAAATACTTACTAGAAAACTTTTCTCTGCCTCACACTTTGGACTGCCCTTCACTATGTACTATGTATACTGTACTATAAAGCATTTTAATGTAACAAGAGAGAAAGTTTAATGAATTTAATGTGAATATTTCTCTTGCAATCTTCAAAGTAATCTTTTTACATTTGTTAATACATAAGTGCTGTAATATGTACAAGATTCTTAAAAAATAATCTGAAAGCAAAAGGGTTTCGACATTTTGCTAGTTGTGTCACAGCAGTCCATTAGACAGCAGTGACAGGCAAGATCTGTTGCTGCTTTGATCTGTTAGCTACCAAAATATTTTTTTAAATAAAGTTACGTCTTGAAAGCAGTGTGCTTACAGTACAGCTTTCAAAACTTGTTTGCTACAGCTAAAACTCTTAAGCCCCAATTTTGATTGCCTTTGTTGTTATTAATGCTGAGTATAAAGTGCTGTTTGCATTTTAGTCGGTGGCTGAACCTATGCTTTCCACACAGGTTCTGCATTGGTATTAGCGAAGATGATTGGCACCGTTTTTGATCAGTGGTCAGATTGACGTTCCTTCACAATCCACCTTGGAAGCTTTTTCCTCTGTGTAATTCCCATTGAGTTCTACAGACTAAAACATTCAAAATCAAAAGCATAGTAAGGAAAAGACAAAATATAACAAGGAAAATGTATAGACAAAATACTAAACACAGATTATTTGTCCATTTGGATATATACACGTGTATAGATAGATAATACTTTATTAATCCCGTAGGGAAATTGATGTGTTACAGCAGTCCAGCCCAAGACGAGCAAAACAGACATCAGAATAGTTATAAAACAAAAGACAACAAAATAAATAAATAAAAAATAAATAAATACATAGGCATGTGAAAAATGTGATGATCATAGTCACTGTAAAAACAATAAAATATGTGCAAAATGCGCATAGGTTTATACAGACTGATTGTCCAAAAAGTACAATGGAGCAAACATGCTGTCCATAGACGAGCAGATGAAGGGCTAACAGTCCTAGCCTAGGGCAGCGTTATACACCCTGACAGCCGTATGTATCAATATATATATATATGTAGAAAACATTGGTTGTATAATTTCATCTATTGGATGTGCAAGGTGCTGTGCTGCTATCTGCTGTTCTTGCATCCCTTCTTCTTTTCTGAGCTTGAGATCGCTGCCATAAAGGGCTTCCTAAAAGGCATGTTCAAGGCTCAATATCAGCTGCGAGGTTTACCTCTATCTCTGCACTGGTTGGTTTAGTCCAAAAAAAGCGGTGCTTTTGCAGATAATCACTCTCTTGGTACAGGCCGTTCCCTCCAGTGCAATGGCTGTGTTTCCACGGGTTCTCGCACCCAGGGGGTTAAAAATGAGGCCTCTCAATCAAAAGAGTCTAATTTTTCACACACTGTTTGCTTCTTGCAAGATTTGCGCTGTTTTTACAGGATTTTACAGTTCCTACTTTGCCAATATTACAAAACAGTGTTTGAAAGTACAGCCGGTAAATCAATTGTGTAAAATGCTTACTTTTTATATAATGTTATTATGGCTGGAATTTATTGACTTTGCTGCACTATACAAATGAAAGGGGAGAAAACGGTGAAAAGAAAAAAAAAAGCTGCAACCAAATTGCTTTTAAAATGAATGTTGTGATTTTATTGGTAGACTCTGCCTTTTATTTTCGTTCCAGACAGTCCTCCAGCTCTGGCATATTAGCTATTCCCTCTATTACAAATGGAACAACAATTCATTTAGTGTTATTTTATCCTCTCCAAAGGAGGTTTAAATGGTTCCCCGGAGTACTAAATGTTATTTTTACTATCTGCAGGACCTGCGGGAGGTATGGCTTAATTATCCACCACATCCACTACAAGTACGTTCCCTTGTTTTCTTTCTTATGGACTTAATGTGTTTGCTTCTGCAGTAGTAAGTATATGTAATATAAAAAAAGTAGCTTAAATGATATTGCAACCCTAGGACTCAAAAATAAATATAACTGCCTGTCGTGTGGCTTGGCATTTCCTTCATTGCTGTTGTCCTGGAGATAAAAAATAAAAATGTGAAAGTTTGTACAGAGCATTAAGTTATATTGCCTTCAAGTGCGTGCTTCAAAAAAATGGGCAAAATATTATAGTCATCCATATATTGGAGGGTTTTTCTAAAATTAACTATGTTAGTTTACTTAAGAACAAAGAAGAAACTAAACTAGAAACCTTTACAATCATAAACATAAGACTGCTTACTCATATAAAGGATTTTATAAAAATTGTAATAAAATAGTTTGGTGTTGTTTTCCTTAATTATATCGAGTTACATTGTATAACATTTACAGTTAGTTACAATAGTTATAAAAAATATATAATTTGGTAAACTTCATATATTGAAATAAAAATATATTTTTTTCCTATTTCTATAATATGGTATTGTTTTAATAGATTTACACATAGAAATACGGTTTATAACTAACACCCTAAATTCTGTTTGTTTATGTACTGCTAAATCTGATCATTTATGATACCATATTAAAACAGTTATGGTAGTTTTCTTACATAGTTTAATTATTGTTTTGGGTTAATTTTATATTTTTCATTTTTGTTCTTTGAGTTTTTGTTCTTCAAAAAAATCTTACACACATGTGACAATATACTAATTAGAAACAGCCAGTGATAGTCATTTATAATTGAAACTTGGGATCGCAGATGAAATATTTTATCACAGGACACAAGGAGTGGCTTGTGATAGGCTATTCAACCTAACCGTATCTATTTGTGCTACATACTGTAAGCTGGAAGAAAAAAAGATCTGTGAAACAAACAAAAATAAGCTATTTTAAAGAAAATCTAGAAAAAAAAAACGAATTCAACTTGTTTTATCTCTTGGTTGCTGATGTTGCTCAAGATTGCCGTGCTAGTTGCTCCCAAAAAAACTAAAATAAATGTTTCAAAAACATTTATATTAGCAAAGCACATCCTTGGAGGCTGTAAAAGAGAATGTGAAATCGAAAGATTAGTGCTTCCTTCCTTACTCCAGATGCCACAAAATCCTGGACACACAGTGCAGCTATCTCCATTTCCATAAATGGCTTTTCCTACAGCATTGAATTCTTTTTACCAGTGCATAGAAACCAAGGTTGAAGAGTCTTCAAAACCTTGTGTTCCTCAGTAAGGCGAACAGGCTAGACAATAGCAAAGAAAAACAATTGGAAATGAAATGTTATGGAATGAAATAATATGACACTGAAAAATCTATAGCCTTCACCCTTGACACCCACATTGACAGATAATTAAGGCCTGAATAAACTAAGTAAAAACAGATGTAGGTTTAATCCCATAAACTGCTCTTTTTGTTATTATTTGCCTTTAATACAGAATAAAAAATCGGTATGTGTTTTTTCTTTTCAAACCTTTATTGAAATGTGTCAAGGTTGTATGTTGTGTATTTCTAATCCACAAATAATATATACTGCTGAGGATATTTAAAAAAAATCTAATTTTTGAGTGATACAAGTTCTAAGGTTTTGGAACAGCTGAATTTCCCCATTAATTGACAAATTGAACATCAAAAGAAGCCTATCACTCTAATCATACATGTATGTTTTTAGAACAATAAAATATATCAACTTTTAATATTGATTGAGATTTTTTCAATGCCGGTTTGATAAAGTGAAAATTCGTGATTGGTCCCACTAGAGTGACTTTAACTGTTGGATTAGCATTAGATTGCCTTATTAGTTAGAGAGTTGATCAGACACTGATAGGCGATGAGATGATTTAGCCTATTTGATGTTAGGCCTTGACAAAAACTCTTAGAAATATGGCATTTTATTTTGTTATGTTTGTGAAGTCTCCATAACGTGTACTGTTAAATTAGAAGCCTATTTATTGATTAAGTAAAGTGATACTGTTAAATGCTGTTGAATCTTGAGCAGAGTTCCATTGTAAATAATATGAGCAAAACAGGAATTTGAGCTCAGGAATTTAGCCGAATGTCTTATTTTCCTCCTTGATTACCTCACCAATGTATGCTTTAATGTGACTTGTAAATTAATAAATCAGTTCTCTTTTATTTTATAAATTAAAATATTCCAGTTCATTATATTACTGAATATTCAGGTTAATTACTGTGTAGCCTCCTTTTAAGCGTGCCAAATGCTCAGCACGTTGTGTGAAAGTATGAACTGCAGCTGACACTTTTCTTGGGGGCTACAAGAGCAGGTAATTCATTAAGCTTGATATTTCACCTCTCTTAGTGGCTTGAAACATCACAAACAAAAATCATCTAAAGTTGTATCCTCTTGACATGATTAACCCTTTTGAAAAAAAAATTCTGCAGTTTAGAAGACCTTTTGCTAAGGTGGCATTTTTTAAGCCAATCCCAATCAAATAGAGGTTAAATATAGGACTGGTTCTCATTTTGTTGAAGTATTTATGGTGAGCACTTACTTTTTTTAATCTGCTGTGTGTCTCGCTAGGTTCAAGAGCCAAACACTGATAGGCAACTCATTGAAACATCTCCAGTGTTGCAAAAGCTGACAGAATTTGAAGAATCCATCGGAGTGCTTTTCACACATGTTCGCCTGTTGGCACGAGCTTTCACCTTGCGTACTGTGGGATTTAATCATCTGACTCTGTAAGTCTGAATAAAAATGATAAATGACATTTTATCCCTCAGGATGTTCACTTTTGAATACATTGACAGTGCTGGTTTTTGAGTTTAATTTTTGATCATCCTCTTTTCCTTTCTCACCTTAAATGTTATGAAGTTTTCTCTATGTATGTAATGTACTTTAAAAAAGTTAGAGGTTGCATTTGCACATTTGGCAGATACCTTTATATTTTAAAGACAGTTGCTGTCAAAAATATTCATCCCCTTGGACTTTTTCACTTTTCACTGTTAATCATAATGTAATTAATTGTGATTTTTTGCCAATGATAGACACACAAAGTGAAAACACAATTCTAGAAATACTCCTAAATAAAATAACAAAATAGATTGCATAGGTTTTCAATGGCAAATTAAATACACTGATTTAAATGCAAACAGGAGCATAGTGTTCAGACGTAGAACATAAGCTTATTTGTATTTTGTGAAAACTTATACACTGTATGTTTTTATACTGTATAATGCTTAACTATACCTTTTTAAATCCCTTATTATTATATGAAGAGTCGATGGACTATAATTGTCACCCTTGTACAAGGTTGCGAATTTGCTTAAGTAGAGTCTCAACGAATTTCATTTAGTCCCTTTGCTTTTTAATGCACTTTTTTGTTGTTAAGTTTGGAATATGGAGAGTAGCGGCACTGACATGATTAGATTTGGTTGTGTGCAGGAAACATATGTCTGTATTCATAAAAGCTTTGCAGCTCTGCTAGGTCACCTCTTGTTTTCTTTTCCTGGAAAACAAATTTGTACTCTACTGTATGCTACCAGTCATTGACAATAAGACAAACATCTTTTATCTCAAATCTAAGACATTGCAGTAGATCTTAAATAGGCAAAGAAGTGGTAATTGCAGGTAGAGCTGATATCCCCAGTACTTCTGGGGGTGACAGTCCTCACTTTAAACTGTTGAGTCTTATCACTTTCCCTGATTACTTTGTCACTTAAGCTAAAAAAAACATCCATTCCCATTTATAACTAGGTTGTGATTTATGGTATTTCCAAATATTTTCCCACTAGGCTATCATTGCAGATGTCTATTTTCTATGTTTTTTTAGCTTGACCAATGTGAATAAAATATTGCATTCATTCTGCTTTTAATGCTGTTTAGTGGAGAATCTCTAAATATGTATATGAAAGAACATCCTACCTGTATGATTTAACTACCAACCAACTAATCTACATTGTCTCCCCCTCAGCAGTTGGGTTGATTTCTTAGAAATTGTGGAGAAACAAATCTGTTTAGCCCTCAGAAAAAAGAATGCATCTCTGTTTCTATTTTTAATAGCAGCATCTTTTGAAGGGCAGTTGTCTTTTTTTCAGTCCAGTCAGCTAACATTCCACTAGATAATATAAGTGAGAGGTCAGTCTGTGGCTATTGCAATCAATGCTTTCAAACTATAAGACCTGTTATGATAGAATAACTAGCCATTTCATACTAAAAGAGCCCTGGAGTTAAAAATACAGTTGGTAAAGCATTCCACTCCTTCATGGCAGTATTTGTTTAAAAAAACACAGAGAAAGTATTACGAATTGTGCAGATCTGTCCCTGAAACCCATCTGATTTGGTTTACCCTTGGAGCCTATGAGGGTATTTTAGATCAAAGCCAGGACTGGAAAAAGACTTTAGTTGCAGCCTTTCCTTCAATTTTTGTCCCTGCTAATGTAGTGCACAGGCTATGTTAAAGTGAATGCAAGAGATCTCAGATATTTTGATAACCTTTTTTCTAATATCTCTCCATTAGACTAAATTTAGTCATTTAAATAATGTCAAGGCTTTTCATTGCAATTAAGAGTTAATTTCCATGTGAACAGATTACTTATTTGGAAAAAATAAGTGAAGAAATATCATAATCGCAGTTATACTGTTTTAAACACGTTTGACATTATTTTTAAAAAAATATTTTCTCATTCAATCCAAGTATGAGTTAAGCCATCAAGGTCCTCTGTTCCCTATTTATAAATCTTTTTCATCATCAGACTTAAGGTTTTAATTAGCCTGCTTCCTGCTGCAGCTTAGCACATCTAACACATTAGATATCAAGGATGATCTGAAATGTGAAATACATGCCTGTAGAGTTCACTAAAAGCTTTTACAGAAAACTACAACAATGAACTTTGATTTTAACTCTTATATTTGTTTAAGAGATAACTGTCATTGTCTTGGATGTTTTTAATGTATAAGACATTGTATAGTTGGTTTCACCATGTTGAAACTCAACCATAACCTATGACTCCCTTTAATCTTAACCCAGTAATGTGGTTTGCATACTTAACTTAAACTCTGCAAATGTTTTTTTTTTTTTCATGTAGTCAATGCCTTTTAACCACCTTTGAGTTTTAAACAGTAATCCCCAGTTTACATAAAATGCGAAACATGCATTATCTTAGAATTTCTGTTTTTTGTGGGCCTTGGGTTTCGCTAAAGAGACAAACATCTTTTATCTCAAATGTAGGACATTACAGTAGATCCCAAATAGGCAAGTGATAAGCGCAGTTAGAGCTGATATAGCCAACACTTCTGGATTGGATAAAGTGCCGACAGTTGTTATAGTGGCCAAACTTGTTCATATTGGAATTTGTTATAAATTTGCTCTTTGTTAACTATGGAATTTCTAACAAATTGCGGTGTAAATCAGTTTGGTCATCTACACTGATCTGACATGTCATCAGCAGAATGAGTACAGCTCCCACCAGTCTGACAAGCTTGCAAGTGCCTGTACAAACACAGGAGGTATATGGTCAAGCAAAAGGTTCTGTAGCTGTCGATACATCCCCGTCACCTCTTCTGGTGATTAGTCGGTTTTTTACTGCAAAAACATGATTGTTTTTGTCAAAGAAATGTATGTCGTAGACAAAGAACATTTCTGCTTTTAAATTCTACTCTGTTAAGATGATTACGCTCATTTTGCTGAAAAAGAATGCCCGTTTATAAATAAAACATGTCAAATGGAAATTAGACAAGTAATTATCAAACATATTGAAAACAAACCACAGTCGTTGCAACACTTGGATAAGGCTCATCTGGCTGTGATGCAGATAGATTCACTTGCTGGGATACACAGATGGTCTTATAAATTTTTGTATCAGTCATATTAATCAGAAACATAATATTCCACTAATCAGTTAAGCAAAATGGTTTTCTTGTTAACCGTGTAATACACATTCCTTGATGCATATAAATACGAGTGCAGCATAATTGTCATTAATTCCTTTGACTTCTGAATATGTTTTTATACTGATATTAAGCATATGTGCTCCTCTTGTGTTCTGTAAATGTTTTAAAAAAGAAAGTGTCTCCTTCACTTACAAGTGCCATTTTATTAAACTTTACATATCACTTATTTTTTAGCTTGAAAAATGCCTTTTAATTTCAGTTAATGGTAATGTAATGACTTTCAAGAGCTTACACTCATCTGTCCACTTTTCTTTAGAGGCCACAATCAGAGGATGGAGTTCCTGGGAGATTCAATCATGCAATTGGTAGCCACTGAGTACTTGTTCATCCATTTCCCAGACCACCACGAAGGGCACTTAACGGTGAGGATAATGAATGTCTGTGGTAGATTAAATAAAATGCCTGGGACTTGCATGACAGAGGCCATTGGAGACTTGATGGGCTTAACTGAACTCTTAGTCAAAAATTAGCATCTGAGCACTGGATATCTGATAGATGCACAAGAGCATGACTTTAAAGGTGGGTTGGTTAAAATCTTTGGAACAAAATACTGTGGCAAGTATGGATAGCTTGCTTTTCAAATGGTGCCATCATTTACTTTCTTTTACTGAGACCCAGCTGCTATAGAGATCCATTTTAGTAATAACGAAACAGAAGCAAAACACTGAGAGACATGAACCTTTTAGATCTTTAGCAGTAAACTAAGCACACTTAATTTCGCATATGGCTAAATAAGAGGAAAAGAGAAAACCACTTCACAAATGGTACCATTATTTGGCAGGCAAAGTGTATCCATTCCTTGTTTATTTAAACTCTCTAACTTTGTTCTATAAAACAGACTTAAACAAAATACCCTTTCAAAAGTAGGACATACATTTTAATATTGCCTCTTTGAAACAAAGTTTGGTAGCCATGCTGTGTACTTTATAAATCATAGGGTTGTAATGTTAATGCAATTTTACTTCTAAGCACTTTTTAAAAAAACTCAATAGCATGGATTACACAAAAGTGAAAAGAAAAGCACAGCAAATTGACCATGTAAAACCAGGAGCGAAACTAAATTATATGTTAAAAGCTACAATAAAAAGCTTGGTCTATAAGTGATTTTTAAAGATATAGACAGTTACAGACTCTACAATACATAAAAAAGTTACAAGAGAAAGCCGTTTTGCCAGTCTAGCCTGTTTAATTGCTAGTACATAATTAATCTAAAGACCTTAACCAGCCATTTATTGAAATTTACTTAATTCTGTCAGTCATCTCAGCTTTAACAATATAGCTGGGTTACTTGTTCCATGCTCCCACTAACCTATAGTTTGTGTAACGAAGAACCTACTACTGTATTTGTGGTTGCATTTGGACTTCCACATAGTTTACATGTGTATTTCATGGTTTGTGTGTCACCATCTGTTCTGGAAATGTCTTTATGAAATACTGCACCTTGAATCAGGTCCTCTTGTAGTCTTCTCAAGAATAAAAAGATTAAACTGTTTCAGCCTCTAAGTGTAGGACATTACTTTGAACCCACAGATTATCTGAAGTAGTGGCAGAGTAGGTTTCTTTTGTAAAGTATTGGAAATATTTTGTACACAATTTCATAAATGCAGTCTTATTCCATACAACTTTAACACCTCACCTCATTCTTATATGTAAGTAGACTCATCAAGTGTTTCTCATATAAGTTTAGCATATTTTTACTACCTGCGTACAACACCCTGCACTTGACAATAAATGTAATCTACCAAGTGTTTGCCAGATCCTGAATTTGGGCAATTTTCTCTTTTCTCTTTCCAGTCCAATCAACTGAATGTAATAATACAGTGCCTTGCGAAAGTATTCGGCCCCCTTGAACTTTTCAACCTTTTGCCACATTTCAGGCTTCAAACATAAAGATATAAATTTTTTATTTTATGTGAAGAATCACCAACAAGTGGGACACAATTGTGAAGTGGAACGAAATCTATTGGATTTTTGAAACTTTTTTAACTAATAAAAAAATGAAAAGTGGGGCGTGCAAAATTATTCGGCCCCTTTACTTTCAGTGCAGCAAACTCACTCCAGAAGTTCAGCGAGGATCTCTGAATGATCCAATGTTGTCCAAAATGACTGATGGTGATAAATAGAATCCACCTGTGTGTAATCAAGTCTCTGTATAAATGCACCTGCTCTGTGATAGTCTCAAGGTTCTGTTGAAAGCGCAGAGAGCATCATGAAGACCAAGGAACACACCAGGCAGGTCCGTAATACTGTTGTGGAGAAGTTTAAAGCCGGATTTGGATACAAAAAGATTTCCCAAGCTTCAAACATCCCAAGGAGCACTGTGCAAGCGATCATCTTGAAATGGAAGGAGTATCAGACCACTGCAAATCTACCAAGACCTGGCCGTCCCTCTAAACTTTCAGCTCAGACAAGGAGAAGACTGATCAGAGATGCAGCCAAGAGGCCCATGATCACTCTGGATGAACTGCAGAGAACTACAGCTGAGGTGGAAGAGTCTGTCCATAGGACAACAATCAGTCTTACACTGCACAAATCTGGCCTTTATGGAAGAGTGGCAAGAAGAAAGCCATTTCTCAAAGATATCCATAAAAAGTCTCGTCTAAAGTTTGCCACAAGCCACCTGGGAGACACCCCAAACATGTGGAAGAAGGTGCTCTGGTCAGATGAAACCAAAATCGAACTTTTTGGCCACAATGCAAACGATATGTTTGGCGTAAAAGCAACACAGCTCATCACCCTCAACACACCATCCCCACTGTCAAACATGGTGGTGGCAGCATCATGGTTTGGGCCTGCTTTTCTTCAGCAGGGACAGGGAAGATGGTTAAAATTGAGGGGAAGATGGATGCAGCCAAATACAGGACCATTCTGGATGAAAACCTGTTGGAGTCTGCAAAAGACCTGAAACTGGGACGGAGATTTATCTTCCAACAAGACAATGATCCCAAACATACAGCAAAATCTACAAAGGAATGGTTCACAAATAAACGTATCCAGGTGTTTGAATGGCCAAGTCAAAGTCCAGACCTGAATCCAATCGAGAATCTGTGGAAAGAGCTGAAAACTGCTGTTCACAAACGCTCTCCATCCAACCTCACTGAGCTCGAGCTGTTTTGCAAGGAAGAATGGGCAAGAATTTCAGTCTCTCGATGTGCAAAACTGATAGAGACATACCCCAAGCGACTTGCAGCTGTAATCGCAGCAAAAGGTGGCTCTACAAAGTATTAACGCAAGGGGGCCGAATAATTTTGCACGCCCCACTTTTCATTTTTTTTATTAGTTAAAAAAGTTTCAAAAATCCAATAGATTTCGTTCCACTTCACAATTGTGTCCCACTTGTTGGTGATTCTTCACATAAAATAAAAAATGTATATCTTTATGTTTGAAGCCTGAAATGTGGCAAAAGGTTGAAAAGTTCAAGGGGGCCGAATACTTTCGCAAGGCACTGTATAAGTGAGAGGTCAGTTGCATTCAATGATTTCAAACTACAGGATCTGATGTGATAGAATAACTAACCAATGTAGATGAAAATGGGCCCCAGAGTTAATAACACAGTTGGAAGAGCTTCCCACTCTTTCATGGCAGTATTTGGATTTTTTTTTTTAATCCAGTAAAAGTATTATGAATTGTGTAGATCTTTCCCTGAAACCCATCCGATATGCTTTACCCTTGGAGCCTGTAAGGGTATGTTAGATCAAAGCCAGGACTGGAAAAAGACTTTAGTTGCAGCCTCTCCTTCAATTTTTCCCTACTAGTGTAGTGCACAGGCAATGTTAAAATGAACACAAGAGATGTTAGATAGTTTAATAACCTGTTTTCATTGCAATTAGGAGTCACACCTTACACTAAACAATAAATGTCATTTACCAGGTGTTTGCCTGGTCCTGGATTTGTGCTAAATTATTATTATTTTTTTAATTCTCTTGCATCATATACAGTGGTTGATAATCCTCCTGGTTTGGCATCATCTGAAAAATTACCTTGTTTGTAAACCATGTCTAGACCATCGGTATAAATTGGAAAGAGCAATTGTCTGCATACTGTATATATCCCTTAGGAACATCACTTATATAGCCCCAATTTGTGCATGGGCCCCCTATCTGTACACTCCCCATCTGTACAGCCTGATGGTTTACCACAAATAGGAAATCGGTACGTCTGCACATATAACAAAAGGTCCCTTACTTAAGGCCTTGCGTAGATGTCTTGTGTGCTCCGATTACCTAGAGGTTCTATAATCCCAGTCTTATTAAGAAGAAGCTATCTAGCAGTGCTTCTCTCCCTTCTGTTCTTTTTCTCTAATCTGTCGTATCTCTCACCGGTTCCTTTTATTCTGTATGGGGGCCTACTTTGATTATGTCACACTCCCTGTGAACACTGACTTAATTTTTTAACCACAACCACTTAACTTCTAGTTGGAAATTAGTAAACATTCTTGGCCACCTGGAAGCCTTTGTGACTGCCTGAAGTTATAAAATAAAGGGACATAAGTGTTTCAGTATCACATAGACGGAGTAAGAGTCTTAACTTACTAATGATACTCGCATTTAATAAGGAAGACACTGTTACCTTCCTATAATTCACTTCAAATTACAACAGAAATAACACAAATGCTTGTAACTTTTAGCATGCATTTGATGTCAGCAAAATCAACAGCACAGATATCACTAGCTTTGCGAAGCTCATGTTGATAACCTATGAGCATAACATCCATATTGTAATACTTAAACTTCACAAAGGTCTGTTTCCTTTTTTTAATACTACAGTCAAGGTATGAAAGGCATTTACAATACAAATCTAACAATTCTAATGAAGCTACAGTCCAGCATATTCTTGGTGATTTGAGTAAAGCTGACTTCGTAGAAACATCATGTGCTCCGTGTTCTCTCTTTTTAAAATGTGTTGTCTTGTTTCACTTGTTTAGTTGCTGCGAAGCTCACTGGTGAATAACAGGACCCAAGCCAAAGTAGCAGAAGAGCTGGGCATGCAGGAGTATGCGATAACCAACGACAAAACAAAAAGACCTGTAGCTCTCAGAACAAAGACCCTAGCGGATCTTCTGGAATGTAAGGCGCTTAAGTGTTTTTTTTTTACAGGAATATTTAATAGCATGTGTGTTCTTAAGATAACTGGAGCATGGTTTTTACCATGGTTAGTCTGGCTAGTGCTTACAGCTTATGGAATAGCGCTGGTTTTGGAAGCTGAAACAACATTCTTCGTCAGTAGGCCTCCTGTGTCTGGTTACATATGAAAAAAAAAAACAATTTTACATTATATGGTCTTATTATTTAAGAAGTCATTATTAAGTCATACAATAACTTAAAATACATATACTTAGAGGCATTAAAATGCAACAAGTACTAATGTTCATTTGTTATGTGTTTAATACTTCTCAGTATTAATGGTGTCCAGGTTGATTGGTATGATACAGAATGTAATGTGTTTTAGTTACTCAAATCTTAGACCACATTCAAATGAAATGGATCTCATTTTACTGAAAACACTCCTTTTTTCCTTTGCTCTTCTATACCTGATTCTAGATATTTTCAAATTCCTGAGCTGAAATTAGATTTCTTTTTGCATTTTTGTGCATGCAAGTGTATCTGAAGTTCAGGTGAGAGAGACGTCAGTGTAACTTCTAAGTGTTTCCACTTTAGAATGTATTACAACAGTTTTGGGTTTGAGAGTAAAACTGACTAAGAAAGAAATAGGCTAGAAAAGTTGTATTTGTTCTTTTTTATTGCTTTATAATTTAAACTATAATCTAAACAGTATAAATGTAGTCTAAAGTAATGTTATATAACCTCTATTCAAGAAAAATTCACACTATGAAATACCAATCATTCTGGCAAAAGCTTAGCTATACATTTTGTCCCAAATGACAGCACATCTTCCAGATAAATGCCTCCTCTGAATGTACCTTTGCAATTATTTATTTTTTATATTAAGGCTGCCTCAGCTTCTTTGAGCTGCCTGATGTACCTGGAGGCCTTCCTGTCTAAGTGATGCCCATGCTGAACTCTGCATTTATGGCTTAGATGATACAGCTGGAGTACTGCCACCTACATGTGTAGATTTCATTTCATATGTATGCATTTTAAATACAGGATGATATTTATGTTTTGCTTAGTAAGATGGCTCATTCTTTGAATAATCAATGTGGTTTTGGCATGACTGTCAAATGTATCTTACATTGGGTAATACTTTGCGTTGGTCCTGGAAAGAAAGGATTTGAGGCAATATTTCACTTAATGGCTAATATATTAATTGTTTTATTTGATAAATAAGTACACATCTGTATTTATTCAGGCTTCTTTAAAGATAATTGAAAAATCTGCTGCAGCTAAAATCTTGGTGTCATTTTAGTTCTTGCCCCTGCATTCCAATAGATTAATTGTTTTTTATGTTTGGTGCAAATGGATGCATATTGATCTCTGATATTTTAGAAATATTAATGTAGATCGTTTGAAAGTACCAACATGTCTGCTTTATTATTTTCTTTTATTCAGATGTTATACAGACACAGATGAATATGCTCATAAAATTATGGAATGGGACCTCCAGTAGTTTATGACCAACTATATAATGTCAAACATTGATGTCTTTGAATGCTTGCCTTTGTGGCTGCTGGTAGCCCAGAAAGATACCAGTTAGATACCAAGCTATCAGCATATGACTTCATTTGCAACTTGGTTTGTGCTGCTGGGATACATCCAAATAACTTGAGTGTCTGGGATTCTTCTAGCCTACCTGAGTGTCTAGCTAATCACATTCATCTTCCCAGTCTGTCACTGCAGAATAGATTAATGTTGTTGCAGCTGTTTTCTCGTTTTCAAAATTAAATAGAGTTTTGTTGCTGTCATGATTTGGCCAATATTCCCCCAACTTCACATGCATTTTTTCAGAGTAATGTGGCAGAGAAAAGCCTTTTCTCCATGGATTCCAAAATCACCTTCAAGGTGACACACAATGGCAAGAGCTTTCACAAGTTTTAGAATGTGATGCTGCCACCTGATTAGTAGACTATTTCCTTAGTTGTGTTTTTTGCATTACCTCATCGAGAGGACTAAGGTGCTTCCTTTGAAAGAGGTACACAGCCTTACTGTCATATTGCATTCAGTCTGAAATCACAGTGACACTGACAAGAGTATTGCCATTGTCATAGTAACAGACAAATGGATTGAAAGGGCACTTGATCATTGTGCCATTGAAAACCTTGTGCAGCATCCTGAAGAGCAAAGAAAGTAATTCTCAGGAAAATACAGCACACCCACTTGGAGATTATTTTAGCTGTTTGCAAAACTATCCAGAGGCTTGCAAGTCTTTGTCAGAATTCATCCACAAATTTATCACTACTGTTGACCAAGGTCTGCAGTGAGCCTTCTGTTGATTTCTATTGCTTATATTGGATCTCATTGATCACATGCAGATTCAAACTGCTTTGAAGTGTATATTTCCGGGTGGAAAACTAGTCTTGGCATACATCACTGTTTCCAAGATGCCTTTTTTGAGAAGCAAGATTGCAAACAGAGATGGCAGGTGAGAGGAGTTACTGCCAGTGGTGGAGAAATGGAGTTTGCAAAAATCATCATTAGCTTGACACAGTGGTGTGTGTTACAAACACGTACTGAGTGGGTGCCACTTGTTCCAGCAAACACATTTTCTTGGTCTTAACTCAGCAAACTTTGAAAAGCTGTTGTCTTTTCCTGGATTAGTATCTTTAAAACTCATATATGCCTCTTTCAAATTGCCTAGTATTAACTGTTTCAGGACATGTATTCTTTTTTCTGAGAAACCTTCAATACTAGAGAGCTAGTTTCACCTCTGTAGCTTTCACTACCTCAGCTGCTTGAGGACTACTGAAGGTTTTACTGAAGTATGTCTTTTATGACAGTCACTATTAAATGCACAAGTATGTCAAGGCTGTTAATTTGTTGGCCAAAATAGAGAATCAAGGTGTTTTAAATTTCCTGTAAGTGATAAATGATGGCTTGCTTTGAAAGACAACCCTGTCCTCTCCTTCCCTATCATATAATTGGTCACGCTCTGTAATTTTCTTAGCTCATGCACTACAGACTGTAGCGTAGCACATGATGGTGAAGGAAAACAAGATGGGCTTTTTGACAGATTTATTTTTATAATATGTATACTGTACACACATTCCAAATAATGCTCGATGCCAACTAATCTATATGGTCATGCAAAAAACTTTAATTTGACACAAAGTCTGTGCCAGGATCACATGCAGTTAACACATTTCTTCTTCTGCCTGGGAAGTTAAAAAAATGGCCTCTTTAAATTACCACAAAATCTGTTTTGATAGTGTGAAATTTTGTCTCCAATTCTTTTTCAAATTTCAGGAACATTTGTGATGATCATGCCAAAGTAGGGTAAATTTTGCAATGAATTAACCTAATAATTTCTGAAATATATTCCACATTAAGGAATATAAGGGGACTTTAATTCTACTACAGATTTTGTACATTCTTTTTTTTACTTGAATTAGGCTAAAAAACACCATTATAACTGTTCCATAACTACACAACTCGATTAAATAACATGCATAAAATCATGTAGCAAAAAACAATTATACATAAACATTACCAAACTTGCTGCTACTGAGCTGCAGAAAGTCGGTGCCAGCTCCTTAATAACTCCTTAATGGTGTCTTCCATCATTTTAAACTTACTCTTCTGTACCTGGAGCTCTGCTCTTAGTTTCTAGCTAAAGTATGCTAGTTGTGAAGTGTTAGGAGTAATTGCATGGCTGTAATGCCATTTGTACAATTGGTATAAAGGATTATTTTTGTAGTAATATGTAGCTTTTATGAAGGAACTGTGACAGTGCTTTTAGCCTCTTTGATGTAAAGCATTCTAAATTCAGTATAACAAGAATTTGCATCACTTGATAAAATCTTCTGTAATGATGGATCAATAAAGGTTCAACACAAAGTGTAGTCATCTGAAGAGCAAATAAATAATCAGGCTTTCCAGACTATTCCAATGTTTGGTGTGCATCAGAATCTGACTTCTACTCACCCTTTTTTTTCATTCATTGAATTAGAAGACTGGAAACAGACCATTTGGGATGGAGAATGACAGTCGAAATCATAGCAGCATCTTCCCCAAACGTTAAATTTAGAGCAGTCTCTTGGTTTGTTTTATATTTGGCAACATTTTTGCAGTCTTTCCTCTCTGCAGTACTTGTCTTTGCTAGGAAACACATGGTGTGGTTCTGCAATAGCAAAACTGGTGTTTTTTTTTGTATGTAAAGCAATAGGCACTGTTTTAAATGCGTGCCTGTCTCTGTATGCTTAAACCATCCTGTAAAATATAATCGGCTAGGGGTATTCATTTTTTTGTTTCAGAGCTGGAGTCCCACACTTTTATTTTTATTTTCTGCTTACTCAATTTATAATTGGCAGTTAAGGCTCTTGGTCAACGGTTCCTGCACTAGCTCTGAAGAGAGAATGAGGCACGTGGATGGGCTCCTTGGATGCCCACACTACAGAAGCATTCATCCTTCACAACGTATCGTAATTACCCCATAACCTGATAGGAGACAGACATTGCAAGCCTGCACGCACCTAGCATCCTTTTCTGCTTTATTTATTCCTTGGGTGGTTTCTTTTTCATTAAGACTGATCACAAAGTTTAATGTTATTCAACATTAACAAAGTTTCCCTAAAGCATAGCTTTATCATTTGGATCTCGACGGGACAAAAGGTAGATTAAAGCAGAACTTGAATCTCGGATATTTCACCTAAGATTTGTGTTGAAATATATGTGAACAGATTTTACTGTTTTAAAAAGCAAAAGCTAAACTGCCTAAGGACCAGTATCTGAAAAGTAACATAAAAGGTAAAGTAGCACAATTACAGGGAAACAGAAAATACATGAGGAGCGAAGTTCACATTTTTTCAACAACAGTTAAAGAAAATCAGATAAAAAAACAGTAATTAGAGGAGCCATCTACAAAGTATATCTAAATGTATCAGTTGTCTGAAATGCAGACCCAGATCATTGATTTAACTGAGAAATGAGATCTGGGCACAAGGTGAGTGTCTTCCAAATTACATTCAGATGAACTCATTTTGAACAGATTTAAGGTTCTTGCCATGTCTAAGAGGCATAGCAGTGCCAACAGAATTTGTGTATACAGTACATTTTTTGATAGCGGTGTACTGTAATATGGCAATGTTTGAGGGGATTTCATTGCTTAGTGACTCAGAGAGTCTGAATAATAATGAATGTTAATGGCAGCAGCAGTGAACAGCACATTAAGATTTCAAGGGATCGTCTTTCCGTCGAAGAAAATGTCCTTAGTGTTTCCACTCTGTAATAAGTATGCTTCCCAACTAAACTGAACTTACTGAAGGTCCCCTGATGGTTCACTGAAGTTTTTTTGCGTGAATTATAAACAGTTCTTTTTATAGGGAAATTGTGAGTTAGTGTCTGTAAATATTTTATAGTGTCTGCATTTCCTCTTCTGTGGTTTGGAATCCACTTCTATATTTCATATTTGTAAATATGCTGAAGTTTAAGAAAGTTAAAGCAAAGAATAAATGTTGGTTTGTCAGTTCTTTTAGAAAACAGGGATGTTTATCTGGCAATTAAGTGTTTAATTTACTGTTTTTTTTGTAGGAAGAGTTCATCCTCGCCACCCTTATTTAATTGAAAATCATTCGCCTGGAACGTTCATCTCAATGGCTTGTCTCTTCTTTTTATTTAGTATTCTGGACAGGAGTGTTAATTTTAATGATCTAAAAACCAGATGATTTTACCATCTCAATTTTAAATGTGTGATACAGTGTTAGCATTTTTCCAACAAAAGGGAGGAGACAACATGATTATTTTCTTTGAATGACATTTTTAATATCTATACACACACACATATATCTCCAGTGTTAAGCAAGATTAAGATCTTTCGTTCTTTGCTAACATTTTTCCCTGCAATGTGAGTTGTCAAGAGGAAGTGAGCAATCTTTTGTCTTTGCAAAACACATTCCATGTATCTCCATTTGCAGCATGTTATTGGCAATGTACAATTCCCCAAGCACACTGGGACTGTGTGGGATTAAGTGGGGAGGTGGATCTATAGTGACCTTTTGTTTTGTGGAGAAGAGCACACAAGCCAGAACATGATCATTGTAAGAATTTTCTATCCTCCAGTTGACACTAAAGCTTTATTGTTCAAACTGCAGAGTCACAGTTGCCATTTCAGTTGAGTTGTCCGTTGGATTCTCTTGGCCCAGTTGAAATAATATTTCAAATATTACAAAAAGTAATCCTTCATCAGAAAGTTTTCTTCCTAAATATTCAAAATATAGGGATAAAACAAAATAAAAACTTAATTGGAATTAATTTGAAATTGTAATGAAAAATAAATGGATGTAGTTTACAGCAACCGAACATTCAGTGAATATAAAAAGTCTACGCACCTTTATTGAAATTGCAGGTTTTTGTGATGTAAAGCCAGAAATCAAGTCAGACATTTTTCCATCTTTAATGTGACCTTGCAACCAACAAAATTCAAGAGAAAAACAAATAATAATAATAATAATAATAATAATAATTGCTTATATTTATATAGCGCTTTTCTGGACACTCCACTCAAAGCGCTTTACAGGTAATGGGGACTCCCCTCCACCACCACCAATGTGCAGCATCCACCTGGATGATAGAAATAGATCATCATCTAAATAGATCATTATTAGGGAAAGTAAAAACCTGCAACACCCTGGTTGCGTAAGTGTGCACACCATTCTATAATGGGAGGCTATAGCTGTGTTGAGAGCTAACCAATCACATTCAAAGTCATGTCCAAAGGTAAGTAGCATACACCTGCCATCAATGAAAGTGATTCTGATTAACCCCAAATAAAAATCAGGTGTTCCTGTAGGATTTCCTTGAAACTTTCGTGGTTGCATCCTACTAGAATTGCCATGGTCTGCTAGGAGCTGACAAAACATCTAGGGGATCTTAGTGTTGAAAGCTACCGATGTCTATTTATCTTGATTTCTGGCTTTACATCACAAAAACCTACAATTTCAAGAAAGGTGTGTAGACTTTTTATATCCACTGTACTAGAGGAATTTGTTGGCTAAATTAGGTTATAGTGAACTCCAAACAGTGTTTTTACAGTATATACTTGTTCCACAAATAGCAAGAATATTTACTGGTGCAGTTTTACAGCAGACAAATGATTATTTTACTCAATGTAAGTGTGGATTATGTCAAAGAGTGACAAACTGTATGTTGGCTAGTTTTTAGTCTCTTTTACAATTCCTTGTGAATATTTGTTTTATATATAAATTATGATTTACACATTTAAGAAAGTTTCCTTTCCTCAGATCTTTGTTTGATTCTATAGGTCATATCTGTTGGAGAGATCATGTTAGCTCATTTAACATTTCATTGTTTCAGATTAGGATGATTTAGTTACCGTTCCCTTTCCAAGAAATGTCATTAAATTATAAAATTACAATATAGCCTTAAATAGTGTGCAAAACACAGATTTGATTAGAAGGAATTATGTTCCATGCATTCTGTAGGTTTTAGCCATCACAGCATGTCATACTTTTTGAAAATAGTTTCTGGTGAGAAAGCTAGACAGTCCTACATAAGTGGTTGTTGTGTGTCTGCAATTAACTCAAACATAAGCATTCAAACTTTGTGACATTGCTCGTGACATTTGTATTTTCAAAGGTAGTGCACAGATCTATAATTATCTTATTGCACAGGTTCTTGACTGGGTTAACATTTTAGGATTAGATGGCTTTTTTAGTCTACCATGTCATGCCCTGAGCTGTCAACAGCAGCAAGGTGACTCCACACCATGACCCTGCCGCAAAAGTGGTCACTCTGTCATACAGGCCTCTACTAACGCTTCATGGTTTCCTCTGTGCTTGCTTTACCAGTGCCAAATTACACACACAACTGCGGTTCATTAGGACTAGTTACTCTTTGCCAGTGCCATTTGGGATGTCATCTGTGCTGATGTACAGTCGGCAGTCCTGCAGCTCTGTGACTTTGACTCTTGATGTTGCCATTGTAGGAGCTTCTGGACTGGGTACTACTGGCTCTGAGTCATTGGATTACTTTAATTGGCTTTATGGGCCTTTTGTGATTCCTAAAATATGTTGGCAGCTGTAGCTGCTGTCCCTCTGGTATTCTCTCTGCATTCTACTGTGCTTCTGTTTGCCTGTTCTACTTGGTTCACAAGGTCTGGGTTGATGGGTTTTTCCTGTCAGTTTGTAGCTCAGCTGGAGGCCGTGCCACTGAAGGAGTCATGGTGTCCATGATGTTTTGATTCGGGAAATGGATTTGAAAAAAAAAAACACCAGCTTTTATCTCCGCTGTAGATTCCTGGAACTGTTTGCTAATTCCCTGTATTTTTCTTTTTTTCCTATACATTCTAAAGTTTTTAAATCGCACATGTTTTTTATGAAGTAAAACAAAAAGTCAGCTGCAAAGTTTCTAATGCATTCACTGTTCTGTAGGTGTGCTTCATATTTTCTAAAGCTTAGAGTGAAGTCAGGGGGTTAGTACAGTTTCATTGATTAAATTCATGCAGGAATATGAAAAAAATGCCCAATTGGATTAGTGGAAATAAATATAAGATTGATGTGTTCTTGCAGTTTGATTGCCAATTACAAAACTATTGACATTCTGTTTTGAAACAGTGACACAGTCAATTTTTATTGTCAGTGAGAGTTACCAAGAAAAAAAATGCTTTAGAAATTGTGTTTTCTGTCAGTATGGCACTAATTTTGTTTAATTTTTTTTGTAAGCTTTCATTGCTGCACTTTATATAGACAAGGACCTGGAGTACGTCCACACGTTCATGAATGTCTGTTTCTTTCCCAGATTGAAGGTAAGTACTGCTTTATCTGCAGGTCAGCTGACACCATATTATAATAATAATAATAATAATAATAATAATAATAATAATTGCATACACTTATATAGCGCTTTTCTGGACACTCCACTCAGAGCTCTTTACAGGTCATGGGGATCCCCTCCACCCCCACCAGTGTGCAGCCCCACCTGGATGATGCTCCAGTCCTCTCACACACACCAGCTCTCAGTGGGGAGGAGAGCAGAGTGATGAAGCCAGTTCAGAGATGGGGGTTATT